AGGGCAGACTATTCAGGGGCAACAAAACTAGAAGACACAGTAAAAAAAAAAACTTTCAAAATTTTGAGAGAATGTAAGTTCCAACTGAAAATTATATCCACAGAAAATACAGTATTCAAGTTTAGGACAGAATAAAAATACTTTCAGTAATGCAAATTATCATCACATTTACATTTTGAAAAGAAGTAATGGTACACCCCCAAATCAAGGACATAAACCAAGAAAGGTAAGGAATTAGAAATTAAAAAGAGAGGCCAGGTGCGGTGGCTCAAGTCTGTAATCCCAGCACTTTGGGAGGCTGAGGTGGGTGGCTTACAAGGTCAAGAGATCGAGACCATCCTGGTCAACATGGTGAAACCCCGTCTCTACTAAAAATACAAAAAAGTAGCTGGGCATGGTGGCACATGCCTGTAATCCAAGCTACTCAGGAGGCTGAGGCAGGAGAATTGTCTGAACCCAGGAGGTGGAGGTTGCAGTGAGCCGAGATTGCGCCATTGCACTCCAGCCTGGGTAACAAGAGCGAAACTCCGTCTCAAAAAAAAAAAAAGAAAGAAATTAAAAAGAGAGAATATAAAAGGAAAAAAAAAATCTAACACAATCAGGTTACATTAAAGGCTCCAGGAAAGGAGCCTGAAAAAATGAATAAAATGAAATAAAACAAAAATATATATATTCTATATTTAAACGTATCAAGAGGATTTTTTTAATTTAAAAAAATCTTTATTGAAATATAATTAGCATATCATAAAATTAATGCATTTATTTATCATTATTCTTTAAGTTCTGGGGTACTTGTGCAGAACATGCAGGTTTGTTACATAGGTATACACCTCACAGTAGTTTGCTGCACCTGTCAACCCGTTATCTACATTAGGTATTTCTCCTAATGCTAACCCTCCCCTAGCCCACCTACCCCCCCAACAGGCGCCCCTGACAGGCTCCAGTGTGTGATGTTCCCCTCCCTGTGTCCATGCATTCTCATTGTTCAGCTCCCACTTATGAGTGAGAACATGCAGTGTTTGGTTTTCTGTTCTTGTGTTAATTTGCTGAGATGCTGGTTTCCAGTTTCATCCATGTCCCTGCAAAGGACATGAACTCATCCTTTTTTTTATGGCTGCATAGTATTCCATGGTGTATATGTGCCACATTTTCTTTATCCAGTCTATCCCTGATGGGTATTGGTGTTGGTTCCAAGTCTTCGCCATTGTGAACAGTGCCCAAATAACCAAACATGTGCATATGTCTTTATAGCAGAAAAATTTATAATCCTTTGGGTATATGCCCAGTAATGGGATTGCTGAGTCAAATGGTATTTTTAGCTCTAGATCCTTGAGGACCCATACTGTCTTCCACATGGTTGAACTAATTCACACTCTCACCAACAGTGTAAAAGCATTCCTATTACTTCACATCGTCAAGAGGATTATTTCAATTCAATTCAGTTTTAGAATGAATTAGTGATGCATATGTACAAAATTAAGCAGGTGAAAAACTTTGGTAATTAATAATTATATATATATATATATATATAGCACTTTAGGTTCTGGGGTACATGTGCAGAACATGCAGGATTATTGCATAGGTACCCACATGGCAATGCGGTTTACTGCCTCCATCCCCCCCTCACCTATATCTGGCATTTCTCCCCATGTTATCCCTCCCCAACCTCCCTATCTCCTGCTGTCCCTCCCCTATTCCCACCTAACAGATCCCAGTGTGTGATGCTCCCCTCCCTGTGTCTATGTGTTCTCACTGTTCAACACCCGCCTATGAGTGAAAACATGTGGTATTTGATTTTCTGTTCCTGTGTCAGTTTGCTGAGAATGATGGTTTCCAGATCCATCCATGTCCCTACAAAGGACACAAACACATCGTTTTTGATGCCTGCATAGTATTCCACGGTGTATATGTGCCACATTTTCCTTGTCCAGCCTATCATCAATGGCCATTTGGGTTGGTTCCAGGTCTTTGCTTTTGTAAACAGTGCCACAGTGAACATACATGTGCCTGTGTCTTTATAACAGAATAATTTATGATCCTTTGGATATATACTCAGTAATGGGATTGCTGGGTCAAAGGGAATTTCTATTTCTAGGTCCTTGAGGAATCACCACACTGTCTCCCACAATGGTTGAACTGATTTACAGTCCAACCAACAGTGTCAAAGTGTTCCTGCTTCTCCACATCCTCACCAGCACCTGTTGTCTCCAGATTTTTTTAATGATCACCATTCTAACAGCTTGAGATGGTATCTCAATGTGATTTTGATTTGCATTTCTCTAATGACCAGTGATGATGAGCATTTTTTCACAGGTTTGTTGGCCTCATAAATGGATTCTTTTGAAAAGTGTCTGTTCATATCCTTCACTCGCATTTGAATGTTTTTTTTTTTTTTTCTTGTAAATCTGTTTTAGTTCTTTGTAGATTCTGAACATTAGCCCTTTGTCAGATGGGTAGATTGCAAAAATTTTTTCCCATTCTTTTGGTTGCCAGTTCACTCTAATGATTGTTTCTTTTGCTATACAGAAGCTCTGGAGTTTAATTAGATCCCATTTGTCTATTTTGGCTTTTGTTGTCAATGCTTTTGGTGTTTGATCATGAAGTCCTTGCCCATGCCTATGTCCTGAATGGTTTTGCCTAGGTTTCCTTCTAGTGTTTTATGGCGTTAGGTCTTATGTTTAAGTCTTTAATGCATCGGGAGTTAATTTTAGTGGAAGGTGTCAGGAGGGGGTCCAATTTCTGCTTTCTGCACATGGCTAGCCAGTTGTCCCAACTGACTGTTTAATTCCCATTTATTAAACAGGGAATCCTTTCGCCATTGCTTGCTTTTGTCAGGTTTGTCAAAGATCAGATGGTTGTAGATGTGCGGCATTTCCTCCGAGGCCTCTGTTCTGTTCCATTGGTCATATCTCTGTTTTGGTACCAGTACTATGCTGTTTTGATGACTGTAGCCCTGGAGTATAGTTTGAAGTCAGGTAGTGTGATGCCTCCTGCTTTGTTCTTTTTGCTTAGGTTTGTCTTGGCTATGTGGGCTCTCTTTTGTTTCCACATGAAGTTTAAGGTGTTTTCTTCCAGTTCTGTGAAGAAGGACATTGGTAGCCTGATGGGGATAGCACTGAATCTATAAATAACTTTGGGCAGTGTGGCCATTTTCACAATATTGACTCTTCCTAACTATAAGCATGGAATGTTTACCATCTGTTTGTGTCCTCTTTTATTTCCTTAAGCAGTGGTTTGTAGTTATCCTTGAAAAAGTTGTTTACATCCTTTGTTAGTTGTATTCCTAGGTATTTTATTCTCTTGGTAGCAATTGTGAATGGCAGTTCATTCTTGATTTGGCTTTCTTTTAGTCTTTTAATGGCGTATAGGAATGCTTGTGATTTCTGCATATTGATTTTTTATCCTGAGACTGCTGAAGTTGCTTATCAGTTTTAGGAGATTTGGTGCTGAGACTATGAGGTCTTCTAAATACACAACCATGTCATCTGCAAATAGAGACAATTTGACTTCTCCTTTCCTAACTGAATAGCCTTTATTTCTTTTTCTTGCCTAACTGCTCTGGCTAGAATTTCCAATATAGCATTGGTTAATAATTTTTTTAAAAAACTTAAGTGTTATACATTTCTTGATCTATGTGGTAGTTACATGGATGTATTAACTTTGTGAAAAATCATCATACGATATATTTATGTTCTGGGCACTTTCCGTATAGGTATAAATATGTCAATAAAAAGTTTTCTTAAATATATTCATTTTCTATACACATTGAAAAAAACTGAAAAATAATTTTTAAAATTATTTGACAAAGGAGATATAGCCATAGTACCTTAAGTGACTCAGATATAAATAATAGTTGAGTAGTCACAATAATATAAAGATAAAATATTGATCAACCAAAATTTGTGATTTAACTGTATTAAGAAGGGGAAGCTGAGGGAAGAATTAAATCCACGTCTTCCATAGAGGAAATTCAATATAATAACTGAAACCAAAAAAGCCGCTGGGCACAGTGGCTCACGCCTGTAATCCCAGCACTTTGGGAGGCTGAGGCGGGGGAATTGCTTGAGGTCAGGAGCTCGAGACAAGCCTAGCCAAAATAATAAAACCCTGTCTCTACTAAAAATACAAAAATTAGCTGAGTGTGGTGGCGGGTGCCCGTAATCCCAGCTACTTGGGAGGCTGAGGCAGGAGAATCGCTTGAACCCAGGAGGAGACTGCAGTGAGCTGAGGTCACAGCATTGTACTCCAGCCTGGGTGACAAGACCGAAATTCTCGTCTCAAACAAAATTAAATAAAACTGAAAAAGCAAAAATACCTACACATGCAAATTACCTAGAAATAGGAGTTTCGAAGCAACATATAGCTAAGGAGCTGAAAATGATTGCCTTTATGATTGCCTTGAAGGAATGGAGAATTCAAAAGGGAATATGGTAGGGCAGGCAAGGGTCAAATATGTATCTTTATAAGCCTGTACATGATTTCACTTATTAACCTGTGCAAATAAAATATTATTAATTTGAGGGGAAAATAACATTTTTAAAAAGTTTATGGCTATATATATTTTAATTACATTGGCCAAATTAACTGGAAACAGTATCTTTAGTAAGAAGGGCACTTTTGGCATCTGAAGATTAATCCTTTCAGTTGAAGCTATAGTCAAAAGCATTCTTCATTTTAAAAAAAAAAACAACCCTATCCCATGGCAGACAGTATCGTGACACTAAAGAACTTATCTTTGAGCAACTGTGTCTACATCCCTGCTTTCGCAGCTATTGCACACAACTAAATGGCACTCATATGCAAAGTAACTTATAAATTATTTTATACTACCTTCCCTAGTTAAACGGTTTTCATGAGGAAACTCTTGTTGATTTTTCTAATAACCTCATTTGAGAAAACTAGAATTTTTGCTGGGATATAGACAGTTATGTGAAGTCAACTGCTACCGGGTAAAAATACCAAATTTCTACTTGCTCAATACAATCATTTTTGCTTCTTAGGAGGAAAGGGAAGATGAAGGACCGACTTCAAGAACTGAAGCAGAGAACAAAGGAAATTGAACTCTCTAGAGACAGTCGTGTTTCAACTGCAGAAACAGAGGAACAAGGGGTGTTTCTGCAGCAAGCTGTAATTTATGAAAGAGAGCCTATAGCTGAGAGACACCTACATGAAATTCAAAAACTACAGCAAAGTATTAACAATTTGACAGACAATGTTCAAAAATTTGGGCAGCAACAGAAAAGCCTGGTGGCTTCAATGAGAAGGTTTAGTCTACTTAAGAAAGAGTCTACCATTACAAAAGAGATAAAAATCCAAGCAGAATACATCAACAGAAGTTTGAATGATTTAGTTAAAGAAGTTAAAAAGTCAGAGGTTGAAAATGGTCCATCATCAGTGGTCACAAGGATACTGAAATCTCAGCACGCTGCAATGTTCCGCCATTTTCAGCAAACTATGTTCATATACAATGACACAGTAGCAGCAAAGCAAGAGAAGTGCAAGACATTTATTTTCCGTCAGCTTGAAGTTGCTGGAAAAGACATGACTGAAGAAGAAGTAAATGATATGCTTCATCAAGGAAAATGGGAAGTTTTTAATGAAAGCTTACTTACAGAAATCAGTATCACTAAAGCACAACTTTCAGAGATTGAACAGAGACACAAAGAACTTGTTAATTTAGAGAACCAAATGAAGGATTTAAGGGATCTTTTCATTCAGATATCTCTTTTAGTAGAGGAACAAGGAGAGAGCATCAACAATATTGAAATGACAGTGAATAACACAAAGGAGTATGTTAACAATACTAAAGAGAAATTTGGACTAGCTGTAAAATACAAAAAAAGAAATCCTTGCAGGGTACTGTGTTGTTGGTGCTGTCCATGCTGTAGCTCAAAATAAAGAAGGTATTTTTAAATTTATCCAGCATTAGGGTAAAAGATATCTCATATTTCAGTGTCCTGTATTGTTTTTCTTCATCTCATAGATCCATTCACATACCTTTCATCACTGTTAAGTCATAATTCTCCCCTTTAACCCTAACCCAATAAAATTACAGAAACTTTTGTAGCTAGTTACATAAAACACACATTTATTCAATTAAAGTAAAAACAATATGGTTACTGTCAACTTACAAGTTAACTATTGAAAATGAGCGGAATAATCTTAATTTTCTGGTCAGGTATCAAGCTCTATATTAGCCGTTTTTCTCATCTGTTAAGTAGTACCTAGGCAATCCATTTGGCTGATTTGAGAATATTTTGATAGTTAAGAATCATGCTACAACAAATCTAAGCCATACTAGAACCTTTATCAAATCTTTTCTCTTTTTGGAGTGCAGTGGTGTGATTCTGGTTCACTGCAACCTCCACCTCCCAGGATCAAGCGCAATTCTTGTGCCTCTGCCTCCCGAATTATTGGGATTACAGGTGTGAACCACCATGCTCAGCTAATTTTTGTATTCTTTTTTTTTTTTTTTTTTTTTTTTGAGACGGAGTTTCGCTCTTGTTACCCAGGCTGGAGTGCAATGGCGCGATCTCGGCTCACCGCAACCTCCGCCTCCTGGGTTCAGGCAATTCTCCTGCCTCAGCCTCCTGAGTAGCTGGGATTACAGGCACGTGCCACCATGCCCAGCTAACTTTTTGTATTTTTAGTAGAGACGGGGTTTCACCATGTTGACCAGGATAGTCTCGATCTCTCGACCTCGTGATCCACCCGCCTCGGCCTCCCAAAGTGCTGGGATTACAAGCTTGAGCCACCGCGCCCGGCCAATTTTTGTATTCTTAGTAGAGAAGAGGTTTTGCCATGTTGGCCAGCCTCATCTTGAACTCCTGATCTCCAGTAATCCGCCCCCCCTCAGCCTCCCAAAGTGTTGGAATTACGGGCATGAGCCACTGCTCTTGGCCCTTTATCAAATCTTTTATCCTCAGATGATAAGTTAACTCAGTGCTTGACAGATCAGGGAAAACTCAACTAGGTACTTGAAGAATCTATAATTAGTTACTGGAGCTGAATGTAGCTTAAGGAATAAGAAGGTGAGTTAAGGCACTGCTTTCTTGAACTTGGGTCCATACAGTGCAATGTATTACAGATTGGCAGATAAAGTCAAATTAAAGGCAACTGCATTCTTAAATATTTTGCCGTGACTTTATGATAATGCTATCCTATACTATGAGCTAGGGATACAGTCTAAATTCACATAGCACAGAAACAGAGTTTTGCAACTCACATTCTAGTGGAGAAAGCAGGTAACAAATACAAAGACAGTGTTAAGTTCCAAGCAGAAACTTAAAATGAAAGGGCAATGAGATGAGGTAGAGACTGTCAGGGGGTGTGTCTTTAGGTTGGGTAGTCAATGAAGACCTTCCTGAAATGTGAAATTTAAGTGAAGATCTGAATGAGTACAAGGGAGGGTATATTCCCAGCACAGGAAACAAACAGTACAAAGACCCTAAGGAGGGTATGACTTACTCTGTGCAAAGAAAAATAACAATCCAGTTAGGGCATAGTCGGAAAAAGGCAGCGAGATAGGAGATGAGGTTAAGAAAGGTCAGCAAAGGCTAGATTTAAGGTTTTGTAAGCCACGGAAAGAAGTCTGAAGTTTACACAATGTAATCAACACAAGGTTCTCAGATTGTTCTAGACCTGATAGTAATATTACATAATTTACACTTGAAAAAGATTATTCTGTCTACTGTATGAAGAATGGGTTAGAATGGATTTGGGAGAGGTGAGTAAAGACAAGCACAGAGGTATAGAAAACAATTACAAGGTTAGTGCAGCAGGAAGAAAAGATGGAGGCTTGCGCAAGGATTATAGAGGAGGTGGTGATGGTGGCAGCAGCAATAGTAACTCTAAAGATGAATAAAGTAATCGCAATGTCCTAGTCATTGCTCCAGTAATTTCAGAGTGGATGAAGTATGAAGTAGATACTATTATTACAATTTTACCAATATGAATACTGAGGTGCAACGAAATTAAGTAACCTGTTCCAGGTCACAGACACTGCACATGGTGAACTGGGATATAAACCCAGGCAGTCTGACTCCAGAACCAGCTCTTCACCATTCTCTTACTACATACTGTATAGTAGTGATGGGAAAAAAATTAGATTAACTCCTGATAGATTTAAAAAGTAGAATTACAGAATACTGATTAGATGATGACGTCATGTACTGAGATGAGAAAAGACAGAGAGGAAGGTTTCAGAATTGGCCGTGAGAAGAAAATCAAAGACGTTACTTTGGTCAAGAGAATCTGAAATGACTATACAATGCCCAAGTGGAGGTTTTCGGGATATTAGCTATATCAGTAGGAGCTCTTGAGATATGTCAGGACTCAAAGTACAGATTTGGATCATTTGAGCAAACAAATGGTATGTGAGGTGGTATGAAAAGTATGTGGATGTAAAAAACTGGAAGCCCAGAAAAGGGCCTGGGGTATTTCAAAATTTAGACTCAAAGCAGAAGAGGAATTAATAAAAGAAACTAACAGAAACTGTCAATGAAGTATGAGGAAAGCCAATGCAAAAGGAGAGTTTAAAGAAGGAAAAATCTGAAGAGACAGTCAACTTTAGATAAAATAAGAGCAGTAAGATAACAATAGATCTGGCAGCACGAAGGCAATTATTGACTCCAAGAAGAGCAGTTTCAAGGAATTATAGAAGCAGAAGCACAAAGGCAGTCTGCTGAGGAAAGAACGTGACATGAAGAAATAGAGCAACCACTACAGGCAGTTCTTTCCAGTTTGAATAAGGTACTATAAAAAGTAGTCAACAGCTAGAGATATGTAGAGTGGAAGGATTCTACCATACTTCCAGGCGAGAAACATAAAAGCACATTCTGTTGACAGGAATAATCCAGAGAGAGAAACTCCTCACGTAAGAAAGGGGAGGATACCATGCAAGAGCAGAAAGAGGTGGAATCTGAAGCAGAAACGGAGACGCTGGACTGGGTAGGAAGAGAAATCCTTCTTGTGTACTATAGAAGAAAAGGTGGGGCTGAGAAATAAAAGCACACAGTTGAGTAAATTTACTCAACTATTTCCTTAAAGAACTCAGGCAAAAACTGAACGCACAGTGAGGTTAAGGGAGAAGAGAGAGAGGACAAGGAGGGAAACCGCCATTTGGAGAGATTAACAAACATTCTATGAAAGATATGAAGATAACCAGGCAGTTATCACAACTTTAATGTGAGACCAGCCATCAGTCATGTATTACTAATCTATCATGTTTGACATTTGGGTCCTGACACAGAACGTGTAGATAACTCGGTCTAACCAAGACGGTGGCTTTTCCACATATGTACAATGAAGGAAAATATGTCAAGAGAGCTTGGGAGTATTTGAAATGACTGAATTTTATATGTAAAATATGTATTTCATAAACACTACAAAATAATTTTTAATTTATAAAACATCACAAAATTGAAGAGCTTTCTATTGTGTCAATTATCAAGCATTGCTAGAGAAAAAGATGTTTCACACACCTCAGCTTCAAATGTTTAAGAAACATTATTGAAAAAAAATAAAATAAACTTAAAAGATGATAAAACTCCACAGCTGAGTAGTAACAGACATCTCTCTGCTGTTCCTTCTAAAATTTTTTCTATAGCCTTAGTGATACTTGTTTATAATTGCTCCTAAACTGTTTATCATGAAAACTGATAATATTGAGTACTATTTAATATTCCTCAGTATAATTACATCCAGATGAATTTGTAAAATATTTTATTTTAGTATTTTATATTTGCATATAGTGTTTTTAAAGCAAGACTTGAGCACAAAAAAAAAAATCAGGAAATAATGTATCAGAAACCATTTTCATTGTTCCATTTCCAAACCAATTAGTATCACCCTAACCTAAATAAAAGATAACATGCTAATTAGTTGTGAGAATTTTGTATATTTTATTTACATACTTATTTGGCATTAAAAGTAGATTTTTTTTCTTAAAATCTTAAAACCTTAAGGGGAAAAAATCTTGTAAGAGGTGAAGGCACAATATTGCAATATTAGAAGTATGGAATAAAAATAAAAATTACTATGAGCACCAAAGCTCCTCTTCGTAACTACTACACTGTGCCATTTTCTGTAATTACAAGCTTCACAGAGCTTCAATTCATAAGATGAAATACTTTGAAACTGGTTCTCCTAATTCATCTACACCTGAACACAGTATATTATCAACAGTAACAATATTCATATCCACCACGGCATTTACAGAACGCTAGTGAAATGCTGCACTAGAGGCTTGAGAGGATTTAAATGCATTATTTGGAATTCACATAACAAGACAGGTATTATAATCCCTATTTACAAGTGCAGACATAAAAGCTTAGAAAGATGAAGTAACCTACCCAAAGCCTTTCTGACTTACACCATCTCCTATACTAGCAGTTCTCAGTTTTTGCTGTGAATCAGAATGATCTGGAGAACATGTAGGGGAAAAATCTCCAAAGCATTACTCTCACCCTCAAAAATTCTGAAGGTCTAGGCTGATGCGGATGCAGGTGGTTCATGGACAACATCTTGCTGCCTAGTAACACTGTCAAAAAGTTATTTTCTGTGTTATTTTGTTTCCAACTAGATTGAAGGGATAGGGGAGGCAGGGATGGGAACTTCTGCAGGCTCCCAGGGCTTAAATTACCTGCAAAGTCAATCAGCTGAGGAGCTTTACTGTCAACTACAGCTGTTATGAAGCTGAATGCCATTAAGAGACAAAAGGAATCATTCAATAAGGATGTCTGGAGATGAGTCAACAGTATAAGTAAATGACATTAATGAAGATGACAGAGTGGTAAGGCCCCACTGAAAGGAAAGAAATCTGAAGCCAATGGGCCTTATACATTCAATAAGCAGGGGCTTCAGAGGGTGAAATCAGTCAACAAGGGACTCAGTGCTCTATCTCACTCTATCTAAGGATCAACTGATTATGTGACACAGGCAGACCAAAATTCCATACTGAGGGGCCTCCAGCACTCTAAAACAGGACTCAGATTCTCCTTTTATTATTTAAATGTCTAATGTGGGCCGGGCACGGTGGCTCAAGCCTATAATCCCAGCACTTTGGGAGGCCGAGGCGGGTGGATCACAAGGTCAAGAGATCGAGACCATCCCGGTCAACACAGTGAAACCCTGTCTCTACTAAAAGTACAAAAAAAAATTAGCTGGGCATGGTGGTGCGTGCCTGTAATCCCAGCGACTCAGGAGGCTGAGTCAGGAGAATTGCCTGAACCCAGGAGGCAGAGGTTGCGGTGAGCCGAGATCGAGCCATTGCACTCCAGCCTGGGTAACAAGAGTGAAACTCAGTCTCAAAAAAAAAAAAAAAAAAAAAATGTCTAATGTGATAAAAGTACGTTCGAATCAATTTCTGATAGCTGTAATAGGATAACCATAACATATTTAACTTCTCCTGGGCACTTATAACGAGGAATATGACTAAAAGAAACTTGCAAACGAACATTCTGCTGTAATACTACCTAGAAGGAAGGTGAGTCAAATAAGCATAAAAAGGTTGGAACCAAAAAAATATCCCATGTTGAAAAAGTAGTAATTAAAGCCTGGTTATTGTCTCTGCTAGTATGGAAACTCATTGACAGGGTTTTTCACCTTTTTAATCGTAAACTTCTTTAGAATCTGCTCACAAGAAAAACACACATACGCAGTTGGAATTGTGCGTATGATTTCAGAGGGCCTTGAGAGGACATTCGTGGTGCAGAGACCCTGGGTCAAGAATTATTTATTTATCTATCTACCTATCTAGCTAGCTATCTAACTAATTTATTTTTGCTGCCCCTTGAGGAGCAGGACTACCCCAGAGACAGTGTGTCCAGAGTAGCCAAGAAACTCCAGTAAGATCAAATCAGAGCTATCTGTTGTCTTCCCCGAGTGAAACTAACTCACTCTCTCTCTCTCAAACATACATATATATAATTTTTCTTGTCATCACTCAATTTCTGAGGACTGGCCAAAAGTTAAGTTAGTTCATGTAACTCCACAGAAAAGCAGGCAGTGTGTAACGAGAAAGTGGCACCTTCCGATAGTTTGAGAGTGCTAACACAAGTAGAATTGTTATTATCCTAAAAGAAAACTTGAGCCTGTGCGTCTCCAGGATTACTCTGGTTAAAAGTATTAGGAGATTCAACTCTAAAAACAAGGGGTAATTTATATAATTTATAATCTCTCTGAGGTCAACTTTTAAGACTCCATAGGTACCAGTGAGATGGGGTGTAGAAGGAACATGTGCCTGCTTATGACATCAGTGTAACCCCAGACTGCCGAAAATTTCAATAGATTAAGCTGTTTAAAATACGACGCAGCTCAGTTTATTCTTCAGGTAATCAACTATTAATGGAAAATTTCTATACTGGATATTGTGCTTAAAATTTGGGATTACTGCTGCTTTTGAGTGCTATTTATACAGTTGCAAAAACTGTTTACTTTTTTCTTGGAAAGGCCGTCTTTGTCAAGACCACCTAGTTTGAAAGTTTTTTTGTTTGTATTTTTTAAAAATATCTCAAGGTCCAGCTACATTAATTAAGCTCTAAACAGTTAAGGGAGGTGGGGTGTAGGCAAGAGTAGATAACATAATTCATACCCTACAGTACAGGCTAAAGTTAATTTCTAAATAGCTGAGGTGACAGAAGAAGGACTTTCCAGGTTAACATGACTGCAATTCTCGGGCTTCAGCCTCCCGAGTGTGCAGGACGACAGGCTCTCGCCATCACGCCCAGCTAATCTTTGTATTTTCAGTAGACACGGGGTTTCACCATGTTGGCCAGGATGGTCTCAATCTCCTGACCCATGATCCACCCGCCTCGGCCTCCCAAAGTGCTGGGATTACAGGCGTGAGCACCAGCCTTTCCTACTTATTATATAGCAGATCTGTCAGTGTCAGACCTGTTCTATGCAAGGCATTATTCTAGTTGCAGGGGTTATGTTAGTTTAAAAAAAAAAAAAAAAAAAAAAAGAATTTCCTATCAGCATGGAGCTATGAGAGGAACTTGACGGACTTTAAGCAAAGAAATAGTAAAATTATCAAAACTGTATTTTTAAAAGTAGTCTCATATTCTTTACATATTCTTGCATTGTTTCACTGGTTATAACAAGCATGTACCACTTTTGTAATCTGAAAAATATCAAATAAAGAAAAGAACTGCTGGCATTGTGGAGGAGAACTTGGAGGGCTGGCAAGACTGGCAGTTCGAGGCTGCTTAATGGACTGTTCCAGCCAGCAGCACGGGATTCATGAAGAGGAACTGAAGGGAAGAAGGAGCAGTGAAGAGATTCAAACAATAGTAAGACAGTAATATCAATAAGAGAAATTAATTGCAGGTCAGAGAGGAAAAGGTAAACAGGAGAACTTTCAAATATGGGGCTTAGGCAGATACTGGAGAGGTGTTTAGAAACATATTTTAAAAAGTGAGATCTAAAATTTTAGTTATTATATAAATACTGTATACATTACATGTCTCATAAATACATGCATAGAAATTCATCAAAATGCTAACAGAGGCTGGATCTGGATGGTAAGTCAATCATTTTTTTAAACATCCTTTTCCAAATATGTACAACTATTAAATATCAATAAAAATATATACAAAAAAAAGTTTCCCTATATCTTTGAAATTTATCAAGAATGTGTACTTTTATATACATTTTGTATATTTTCAAATCACGTTTCTTCCAAAAAGCAGTTTACCTTTGGTAATAAAATTCTATGATTATAAAACTCCCATGAGAAAAGCTGGTCAAATGGCAAACCATTCTATATTTCATAAACTTATTAGGCTGTCCATAATTCTTATATCTTTGTTGAGTTCTCACTAACTATGAGTTTAGTTTATAAGGGTGAAGCAGTCACACTAGTTGTATATTTTATTTTCTATTCAGGAAATTCACTAGCTGAGATAGGTGACAGAATTGAAAGCAGATATTTTGCTGATAGTTATTTGACTACTCAGTAATCAGTGTAGTCACTTAACAACTGTATACCCCTACTTTGAGGCATTTCCACAGATAGTTGCATGACCGACTCTCTCACTTCCAATGTCAGTTTCTCAGTAAGGCCTATTAGGATCATCCTAATTATAAGAGCAGCATAGCCTTGTCATCACTACCGCCACAGGCTTTCTGATATTCTTTGACTTGCTTCGTTGTTTTCAATACACTCATCTAATATATAACTTAATTATATTTAGTGTATATCTCACCTCCTAGAATATAAGCTGCTGAGCTCTAACGTGGATTTTTGTTATTTTTATTCTCAAACACAGCCCCAACCCCAGCAATGCTTGGCAAATAGTAGATGCTCAAATAAGTATTTGTTGAATTAATGCACGTATTAATGAATAAATCCATAAAACAGTAAATGAAAAAAAGCAAATGAATCGTTTTTTAAAAAGTACAAAATATTGTTTTACAAAAAAACCATCACTAATGTTTTTTACTTTAGTCTAGAAATCACTGATTCCCTGCTTAAATATTTGTACACACCAATTTAGTCTATGGAGTTCAGCAAAGTTCTCTCTTCATACATATTTCTGTTAAAAGTTTTCCTTCAGTGCCGGGCGCGGTGGCTCACGCCTGTAATCCCAGCACTTTGGGAGGCCCAGGCAGGTGGACCACGAGGTCAAGAGATCGAGACCATCCTGGTCAACAAGGTGAAACCCCGTCTCTACTAAAAATACAAGAAATTAGCTGGGCATGGTGGCGCGTGCCTGTAATCCCAGCTACTCAGGAGGCTGAGGCAGGAGAATTGCCTGAACCCAGGAGGCGGAGGTTGCGGTGAGCAGGGATCGCAGCCATTGCACTCCAGCCTGGGCAACAAGAGCGAAACTCCGCCTCAAAAAAATAAATAAATAAAATAAAATAAATAAATAAAGTTTTCCTTCAGCTTCAATAAACGTGAGAATTTCTTATACAAATCAAATAACTTCTCTAATTAGTTAAATGTGCAAAAATTTAAAAATATAAACTTTACCAGCAAATGATGTAATACTGTTTTAACTTTACAGATTCCAAACTGTCTCATTTAAAAGTGTTCATTTACCACTGAAGACCAGTGAGAAACTCTACAATTTTTCATCTAACCACATGATAGGTTGATTTTTTTTTAAATCCTTAATAATGAACCACAAGAACAAGGGAAAAGAAACAAGAAGGCAAAGGCGGTTGATTCCAAGTTCACTTTGCGATGCCGCACAGTTACAGCGCCATCTACCGTTTACCATGCATCAATGCTACGAGGGCTGGTAATGCACAAGTTTTTTGTCATTTCGTTTTTTAAAAATGTTCACCCATATGGATGAAATCTTATAAGTGTACATTTAATTTGATAACAAATCACATGTCCAACATGGAAATGTAGAAGTTAAAATCGAGGAATCAATGTAGTATTAGAAAAATAAACCATTTACATAACCCTCAAACAAGAATATTCTTCAAGAAAAAAAGGACAAAAGCCAAATGCAAGTTATTAAAAGAGGAAAAAATTAAAAGATACTTTAGAACCTTGTTAATGGGAGTATTTCAAAATAAAAAATTCGATAAAAAGAAAACTACCACATAAAACAATGAGTTTATATTTGAATATCTACGAATTCGCCGTAACCCTTTTACCCTACAGACAGCATTATAACAAGGCCTCAGTAAATTAACAACTCCCAGTTAATTACATACATTTTAGTATACTAAACCATGACTATTTTAGCTTATTCAATAGTTTGTAACACGTAAATCTCTTTAGTGGCAATGCAACCGTCCCTACCTTAACAGAGACGCTAACATTACTTACACCAACACAGGCTTTCCCGATATCCTAGGGTGTCTCAGCACTTCGGACATAGCCTCTTTTGTCTCTTCCATTCTCTCTTCATCACTTGAATCCACAACAAATATGACCCCGAAGGACTCAGCGAAGTAATTCTTCCAGATTCCCCGAATTCTTTTTCCACCTCCCAAGTCAAAGATGGTGACTTCAAACTTTCCTTGTCTAAGGTTAATTTTTGAAAATCCAACAGTAGGACCTATATCTTCAGGGCATTCTGTTTAAAATTATACAAAAAAAAAAAAAAAAAGTTTAGACTTTAATTGGTAATGTCAATTTTTCAACAAAACTGACACAAAGAGTGTTACTTGTCATATTTTAGCACCAAGTGGAATATTTAGCATTCACTTACACAATAAATATTATATGAAAGCATACTGGTTTGGGAACAAGCCAGAATATCAAACTAGAAATTTTACTCCATGCAGATAGGAATCTTTTTTTCCCCTGATATAACACCTGCACCTAGCATGTAATCAGTACTTAATAAGCATCTGTTGAGGCCGGGCGCGGTGGCTCAAGCCTGTAATCCCAGCACTTTGGGAGGCCGAGGCGGGTTGATCACGAGGTCGAGAGATCGGGACCATCCTGGTCAACATGGTGAAACCCCGTCTCTACTAAAAATACAAAAAATTAGCTGGGCATGGTGGCGCATGCCTGTAATCCCAGCTACTCAGGAGGCTGAGGCAGGAGAATTGCTTGAACCCAGGAGGCGGAGGTTGCGGTGAGCCGAGTTCGCGCCATTGCACTCCAGCCTGGGTAACAAGAGCGAAACTCCGTCTCAAAAAAAAAAAAAAAAGCATCTGTTGAATTAATAAATGAATAAACTCTTGTCTTTATGGCTATTTACTGTCCAAGTTACAAACAAGAAAAATGTCAATCTTTCAATACCACAGCCATCCACAAGGGCTGTTACAACATCTGTGTAGTTATAAAGAAAACCATGAACACTTAGAGAACAGAAGAGCTTAGAAGTATGAGAGAAGCTATAAATAATAAGACCACTCTTTTTTTTAATTAGCCAAATTAAAGCTATATTTGCAATAAACAGACCTTAAAGGGCAGCTTGCAACAAAAAGTAGATTTCATTCTTTCTATAGAAACTGATTTTGGATGTTCCAGGAAATACATCATTGAATTTTTCTGGCTTTCTATGAAAACACAAAGAAGGTATAGGATGCATATGAACCGCTGAGGAGTGGTAACGATAGTAAGAAGTGTAAAAGATACCTGAGGATCACAGAAGACGTCACAGGAGAGACAGAATTTAGATACCTGAGGATCACAGGAGACGGAATTTAGATCCTGAGGATCATAGAAGACATCACAGGAGAGACAGAATTTAGATACCTGAGTATCATAGAAGACATCACAGGAGAGACGGAATTTAGATACCTGAGGATCACAGAAGATGTCACAGGAGAGACGGAATTTAGGCCTTAAAGCTGTGTGGGATTTAAACAGGCAGATGGGGAAGGGTAATGGCAAAGTAAAGGAATATGAACAAATTGAACATTGTGCCTGCAGCAAATCCTTAAGATTATGAATGCAAACAGAAGAGCGTTCTGAAGATGGAGAACAAGGAGCCACTGAAAATATCTGGCAGACCAATGATATAATTAAGGTGACCGAAATAGTATTTTATTAAGATTAATCTTGCAAAAGTCTCTAGACTGACCGGAAGTGATAGTGATAGCCTCTTTTCAGAGAGCCATGAAAATAAAGGAATAGAAAAGAACTCATGAAACATTAATGGAACCTGCTGACTCATGGCTGTAGAGAAGAGTGCAAGCTTCATATTTACCTCCGCTATTCTTTCTTCATTACTGGAATTCACTATAAATATTATCCCAAAGGACATTGTTCAGAGCTGCATGATCAAAACAATAGCCACATGCCACATGAAACTTTTTAAATTTAAATAAACTAAAATTAAATTAAAAATTCATTTTCTTGGTTGCATCAGTTACATTTCAAGTTTTCAAAAGCCATATGTGGTGGCTGGGTACAGTGGCCCAGGCCTGTAAACTCAGTACTTTGAGAGGCAGAGGCGAAAGGATCGCCTAGGATCAGGAATTTGAGACCAGCCTAGGTAACATAGAGAGCTTAAAAAAAAAAAAAAAAGCCACATGTGGCTAGTGGTCCACCCTACTGGACAGAGCCAATATGGAACATTTCTATCACGGCAGAAAATTCTACTGAACACCACCAGTGTTTAGAGGGTCATATTCCCACATTTAGCAAAACATTCGCTCTTACAAAAGATTCATTTGAAACACATTCGCTAGACTTATGTGTGACTGAGAAACAAGCTTACAACACACCAATCTCTTGGTAAGCACCTTAGTGAAGTTTACACAGCACCTGAGAAACTTAGGAGCCACTACAAGTCATACTTTTGCTAATGTTTTCATTATCTAGAAAGTGAAAAAGATAAAGTTAGACATACAAGCAGCATGATTTCCCAGAAACAGGATTACATTTAAAAATGTGATCTAAGCCTAACCAGAACTAGTTTGTGTGAATAAAACAGGCAGCTGTCTTTCAGTATGAATAGAGAGGAATCCCAGGAAATCATTAGTGAAAACAAATCAGCTATGCTGAAATAGGAATAAGGTAACTAACATGCATCAAACAACTCCTTGGTACCAGGACTCTGTTAGGTATCAAGGGTGCAAAGATGAATTAGATATTACTGCTGTCCTCAAAGTACAATGTAATACGGAGAAGCAGAATATTAACAGGAATAACATAGAATTTGTTATGTTCTTTAAACAAAATAACCTAGAGACAGGAATTCAAGGGAAGGAAGGTGAAAAGAAGGAGGGGCGAGTTACAGTCTTAGAAAGGCTTTCAGAAAAGAAATAAAATCTTGGAATGAAGACTTCATTGCAAGTGAACACATAAAAGCTACATAATTGTAACATAGAAGGGAGAACTATATTTTAGGCAGAGGGAGCAATGTAAGCACAGATAAAATTATGGCAATATGCCCAGCAAACCAATTCAGATGAAGAAATTTTTTTCAAGGTTACGTGGTAGGCAGAGGCAGGCCTCAAACAAAGGTCTTCAGGACTTCCAAAGCCTGATTCTTTTGATACATGGAACACCTTCTATTCTTTCCTCAGGTTCCTACTCAGCATTTGTGTTTTACAATTTGGGTACAACTTTCCCATAAATCCTTCTCCGACGATTCCTCCTACTTCTATTATCACCTTTACCTCTAACATAATACTCTTGTCTTCTGTGGAGCTTCACAATAGCCTATACCTTCTCAACACATGGGTCCATGTCTTTGTATCCTTAGCATTCAGCACAAAGCATATAGGGCTCAATACTACAACACCAAACCACTGAGATAACTGAAGCTGCTGTCCCATACATCCATCCTTTCTCGTGTCCTTCCATATATTTATCCATCTATCCTTGTACATATTTAGGGCCTCTTATAGATGAGAAATCATACAAGAACCAGGAACACAAAGATATATGGTCCCCAATTCTGAGAATTTCAGTAAAGTATATATGGTAAGACATAATCTCTAGAAAGTCCAAAATAAAATTCAAATATAGAATCAATAAATTTTTGAGCATTTCTTACAAGCCAAGTAATATGCATGGTTCTTCTGATCTCATAGAGATCATCTCCTCAGTTGCATCAGTTACATTTCAAGTTTTCAAAAGCCATTATGTGGTGGCTGGGTACAGTGGCCCAGGACTGTAATCTCAGCACTCTGAGAGGCAGAGGCAAAAGGATCGCCTAGGATCAGGAATTTGAGACCAGCCTGGGTAGCATTGAGAGCTAAAAAAAAAAAAAAAAGCCACATGTGGCTAGTGGTCCACCCTACTGGACAGAGCCAATATGGAACATTTCTATCATGGATCAGAAAATCCATCTTCTGAGCTCACAGAGCTCTAAGTCTACTGGGAAAATATGTACGTGTGTATGTGTGTATGTATATATGTGTATATATATATATATATATATATAACTACATATAAAATACACACACACACATACACAAGTAATTATAATTTGTTTTCTTCTCTTCACAAATAACTACAATATAATGAAGACATGTGAATATCCAACTATGCTAGGGACCAAGCCACACAAATAATTTTCATACCAAAAATAACAACAGTTCCCTATTAGAAAACACTATTTGATAGCAGAGAATCCTAGATTTTTTAAATCTAGGCTCATGACTGCTTATGACAGACTATAATCCCCAACTATTATGGCAGGTAGGGGTGGCCATGAGTGGAGTCTAGCTAGTTAAATATCTGGAGGAGGAAAACCCTGATACGTGTATGGTACCTGCCAATTTTCACAGTATAAATACTTCAACCATGGTGTATCTCTAACTAGCAATGTGAGGTACCTGAACAGAGTTGGGAAGGGAGACGCATAATCGTCTCTCTCTAGTTGATAATGGGCCAATATGAACAGCAGGTGCAGAACACCACTGCTTCTAGTCAATGGTGTGTGAACTAAAATGATGCAGCAGCTTCTGGTTCGGCTCCTAAAGGAAAGGAGAATGGCTTCCCCTTACCCTTTACCTCTTCCTTCTAGCTGAAATGCCCATTTTGTAGTGAACTGCCTTTGACCATGTAGGTGAGGAAGAACACGGGGGATGGCAAAGCAAACAGAACAAAAGAATTGCTCACTAACACCATGGAGCTGCCAAACCTGTCCTAGACTACTTTTGCCTAGGCTGTTAAGAGAAAGAAATAAAACATCTATCTTGTTAAACCACTGTTATTTTAGGTCTCTGTAAGAACAAATGAACCTTGTTCTAACAGAGGTTGAAGAAGAAGGGAAGTTGATTTCAAAACCATGAAGAAGAGAAGTTAATTTAAAGAAGTTCCAGGAAGAAGTGTTACTTTTATATCAAGATGCTATTGAGGGCCGGGCGCAGTGGCTCATGCCTGTAATCCCAACACTTTGGGAGGCCGAGGCAGGTGGATCACAAGGTCAAGAGATCGAGACCAGGCAAAACCCCGTTCTCTACTAAAAATACCAAAATTAGCTAGGTGTGGTGGCACACACTTGTAATCCTAGCTACTCAGGAGGCTGAGGCAAGAGAATTTCTTGAACCCAGAAGATGAAGGTTGAGTGAGCCGAGATCGCGCCACTGCACTCCAGCCTGGATGACAGAGTATGACTCTATCTCAAAAAAAAAAAAAAAAAAAAAAAAAAAAAAATTGAGGCTTGTATAAATTATGGTAAAAATAAAAAAATGAAATCCATATACAAATGAGCATGGCCAAGCTCCACTGAAAGTTTATTCATGGCACTGAAATTTTGTAATTTTCATGTGCTATAAAATATTTTCAATCTTTTTTCGGTCATTTAAAATGCAAATCACATTCTTAGCTTGTGGGCCATACAAAAACAAGTGTCAGACCAGATCCGACCTGGAGGCCATGACGCCTTATCTAACCTCCTTCCATCCATTCTGTTAAAGCCTGACGTTCGGGGGCACAGGCACCTAAGAATGTGCTAATCAGATTACCTAATTTATTCCGTGTACTGAGTGTACTTAAAACATCCTCTTTCTTTCTCTTATGTATTCCACCTCCACATATCCCTAAGTTCCTGTCTCTGAGTCCAGAAAATGCTGAATGCCAAAGCTGCCTTCAACTTTGAGCCCTACCCGCATTCTGTTTTTGTCCTTCATCCCATATTTACTCTTCAATTTCTTACTTGGAATTTTTTTTAAGACTCTAATTTCATAGAACTACCTGAAGCTTCCTAGATTTAAGTCTGCTCTTGCCTTTAGATTTTTATGTTGTCCTACTTATTTAACTAGAGAGCCTGTCTACTGATCTTTTATTTCTGGTTCTTTTCTTACTTCTCGGCCTTTTATTTTTTTTTTAGTTTCCATGTGAAATTGAGAAAAAGTTATCTGCTAGTTTCTTTTCAGATGTGTCTCCCTCCTCTCTGACTGCATTGCCATTGCCTAAATCCAAACCCTCAGTTTCTTTCATTTATACTGCCACAATAGCTTCTTTTTTATATTCAGATTCTATTTAGATTTAATTATTTCTAATTTTTTGGAGTTGCGTTCACTATGTTGCCCAGGATAGTCCTCAACAGATCCTTCTGTGTGTGTGTGTGTGTGTGTGTGTGTGTGTGTGTGTGTGTTAGAGACAGGGTCTCACTTTGTCACCCAGGCTGAAGTTCAGTGGCGTGATCACAGCTCACTGTAATCTCAAACTCCTGGGCTTGAGCTATCCTCCTGTCTCAGCCTCTAGAGTAGCTAGACTAGAAATGCGCCACAATGCATGGCTAATTTGTTTATCAATGATAGCTATTTTTTTCCTCGTTTATTTTTGTGAGTACATAGTAGGTGCGTATATTATGAGGTACACGAGGCATTTCTGTATAGGCATGCAATGCATAATGATTTCATCATGAAAAATTGGGTATGTATTCCCTGAAGCATTTGTTCTTTGTGTTACTCTTTCAGTTGTTTCTAAATTTTCAATTAAATTATTATTAACTACAGTCTCCCTGCTGTGCTTTCAAATGCTAGGTTTTATTCATTCTATTTTTTTTTTTTTTTTTCACAACAGCTTCCTTTTTTTGAGACAAAGTCTCACTCTGTTGCCAGGCTGGAGTGCAGTGGCGCGATTTTGGCTCACTGCAACCTCCGCCTCCCGGGTTCAAGTGATTCTACTGCCTTAGCCTCCCGAGTAGCTGGGACTCAGGCGTGCACCACCATGCTCAGCTAATTTTTATATTTTTAGTAGAGGCAGGGTTTCACCATGTTGGCCAGGATGGTCTTGATCTCTTGACCTCATGATCTGCCTGCCTCGGTCTCCCAAAGTGCTGGGATTACAGGCATAAGCCACCGTGCCCAGCCTGTATACAAATCATCTATGGCTGCTTTCACATTACAGTGTCAAAGTTTTGTAGTTCGGAAAGAGAATGTATGACCACAAGGTCTAAAATATTTGCTATCCAGCCCTTTACAGAAAAGTTTGCTGACCACTGGTTTAAATAAAGATGATGAGTGCTCTGTGAAGACATAACATAGAAGATAGCATAAACACAGGCTTTAGAAAAAGTCATACACAATAATAGGTACTTAATATTATACAGTAGCATTTGAGATGAGAAAATGCTTTTCTCCAACAGTGAGTTTTGCAACCTGTTAATAAATGCCCTTCCACTATTTAGTAAGCATGATACCTCAGTTTCCAGAAACAAATACATGTTACGCTTTTCTCTCAGTTCTTACCCTTTAGATCAGTGGTCCTCAACCTTTTTGGTATCAGGGACCAGTTTTGCGAAAGACAATTTTTCCATAGATTGGAGGGTGGAGCTGGTTTCGGGATGATTCAAGCACATTACATTTATAGTGCACTTTATTTCTATTACTATTACATTGTAACACGTAATGAAATAATTCTAAAACTCACCATAATGTAGTCAGTGGGACCCCTAAGCTTGTTTTCCAGCAACCAGATGGTCCCATCTGGGAGCGATGGGAGACACCGACAGATCATTAGGCATTAGATTCTCATAAGGAGCACATAACCTAGATCACTTGCACATAAGGTTCACATAGGGTTCATGGTCCTAAGAATCTAATGCCACCACTCATCTGACAGGAGGTGGCGCTCAGGTAGTAACGCAAGTGATGGAGAGAGGCTATAAATAGAGACAAAGCTTCACTCACTGGCCGGCCGCTTACTTCCTGCTTTGCAGCCTGGTTCCTGACAGGCCACAGACCCGTATCAGTCCATAGCCCCAGGGTCGGGGACCCACTTTGGATGCATGACTAGTGATTTTAGGTGCCCAACAAAGTCACTAGTGCAGACACTGCTATACTGTAGCACAAAGCCTTAAATTAAGATTAGCTGGCCGGGCTAGGCATGGTGGCTCATGTTTATAATCCTAGTACTCTTGAAGGCCAAGGCAGAAAGGTAGCTTGAGGCCAGGCATTCCAGACCAGCTTGGGCAACATGGGGAGATCCCATCTCTACCAAAAAAAAACCCCAATAAATTAAAAATTTAAAAAAAAAAAATGATTAGCCAGCATTCAATGAGAAACACTCAATCCGATGTAATATATATGACACATATCCAACATTCAATGAGATGCAGTATGTATGATATAAAGCCATTTAATGATATAGAGGTCCTATCTATAACTTAATTATAAAAATTACATATGGCCGGGCGCGGTGGCTCAAGCCTGTAATTCCAGCACTTTGGGAGGCCGAGGCGGGTGAATCATGAGGTCGAGAGATCGAGACCATCCTGGTCAATGTGGTGAAACCCCGTCTCTACTAAAAATACAAAAAATCAGCTGGGCATGGTGGCGCGTGCCTGTGGTCCCAGCTGCTCAGGAGGCTGAGTCAGGAGAATTGCTTGAACCCGGGAGGCAGAGGTTGCGGTGAGCCGAGATCGCACCATTGCACTCCAGCCTGGGTAACAAGAGCGAAACTCTGTCTCAAAAAAAAAAAAAAAAATTACATTTCATATTACAAAAAGCATCAAGAGATTCAAAGAGAACTATGCTGACTAACTATACTTCTACCTCTCTTTCATCTAAGCATAGCCATGTGACTAACTTCTGGCCAGGAAAACATAAGAAGAAGATGAGTATTCTTAAAAGCTGGGGTAGGTCATCTTTTAACATTTTTCTTCCTGTTGTCCAGAATGCAGATACTATCCCTCTTAGCGGATCAAAGGCCTCAAGAAGCCTGTGCATCTCTGCATATATTCGAATCTGAAACATGATAATAATCTGGCCCCATTAAGCCAGAACCTATTTGTCATATGAGTCACAAGTATACTAAGAATATAAAGTAATGGAGTACACAGTATCTGTACCAAATCACTAGGAATAAAGCAAGTTAACATAAATAAATAATTCAGAATAATTTGATAGAGTTCAGAAAGCACATAAATATCTTCAGCTTACCTCCTTGGATTCCCTTTGCTGTTGCGGTTTTACCAGCATTATCAAGTCCCAGCATCACAAGAGTCACCTTTCTTAAAATAATAGAAATTTTAAAATCACTTTCTTTGTTAATTTAGTATTAAAGAAAAATAAATGCAAATTCATTAATTCAATCAACATTTAACGAGCACCTATTAAGCACAAGAAAATCTGCTGGAAGCTAGGGGGCGCAATGAGGAATAAAATATAGATTCAAAAGCAAATTCATGAAAAATACCTTTAAAGGATCATCCTTTTGTTCTCTAAGCAAATAAAGTAAAACTGCACAATGGATAATCCAAAGGACAGAGACTATGGGAAACAAGGAAGAGAAAACGGAGGCACGGAGACAATCTAACTCTGGGTTATCTATTGTGGCTGAAGATTCCATTTTCTAGTTACTTCAAAGCTAACCAATTATCACAAATCGGTTTCTCTTATGAAAGTACTTAAGTGTTTTTAAATACGTAGCACCTTACTAAGTAGAAATTTATTTACAATAACAAGATTATGAAGTGCGAACATTTTGAAAGACAGTTACTACAATTGTAAAGTTTAAAATATTTCTCACTATACAGCTAAACTCCACAGACAAAAAAAAAAAGTATCTACTTCAACTTTAATACTGAAGAAACCTAAGTCCAGATAAATTAAGTAATCTGGTCAAAGGTCACACAGTGTAACTATACTTAGAGAGTCAGAACCAGAACCCAATTTACCTAACTCGTAAGGACTTAAATGTGAGACAGGTATGAAAGAACAAACCCATTATACTGGTCCTAGTCCTATTAACCTGGTGATTCAGTTTACCACTACATGGTCATTTCTGTTCCAGGTTGAACTTCGCGCAATATAAGAAGTGACACCGTCCATTACCATCACGGATTTGGAAATGAAAACTGCTTTAAGAATACACAGAAAAAGAAAGTCACAGTTTAACACAGCTGCCATATTTAGACCACAGGGTATGGCCACTCTCCAATGGAGTATACTTACTCCTCTTTAGCAATCATCCCATAGAGGATTGAAAACAGAATTTAGATGGCTGTAAAGGGTGTTCTTTCATTTCTCTAGGCTTTGCTCTTTTGGATTTAGACTTTTAAAAAAAATTCAGCCGGGCGCGGTAGCTCAAGCCTGTAATCCCAGCACTTTGGGAGGCCGAGGAGGGTGGATCACGAGGTCAAGAGATCAAGACCATCCTGGTCAACACGGTGAAACCCCGTCTCTACTAAAAATACAAAAAATTAGCTGGGCATGGTGGCGCGTGCCTGTAATCCCAGCTACTCAGGAGGCTGAGGCAGGAGAATCGCCTGAACCCAGGAGGCGGAGGTTGCGGTGAGCCGAGATCGCGCCACTGCACTCCAGCCTGGGTAACAAGAGTGAAACTCCACCTCAAAAAAAAAAAAAAAAAAAAATTCAGGTGTACTCAGAAGGGCCATATAACAAAGACAGAGGACAGAGGTGAGAGTGTGAGACAGTCTAGTTATTGGTCACAAGCTGTCAGTCTGGCAAGAGCCAAATGGGCAATTTATTATACAAATAGTCAGTGACCATCTTCTGTATACCAGACGCCAGTGTTCTAGGTCCTTGGGATACACGTGTTTATTACAGCAACCACCACTATAATAAAAGAAACAAAAACAGATAAAGAAATTCTTCCTTATTAAGCTTATACTTTAGTAACAAGAGACAGACACTAACAATATGATAAATAAGTCAAGTGTAAATTTTAAAGTATATTAGAAAGTAATTAGGTACCATGGGGAAAAAATAGAGTAGAACAGGGTACAGGGAACCAAAGATAGGGGTGGGAGCTGGGGGCAGTTTTATATAGAGAGATCAAGGCAGGCCTCTCTCATTAGGTAAAATCTGAGCAAGGACTTGAAGGAGGGAGTGAGTTATGCATTATATCCAGGGCAAGAGAGAACGGCTGGTGTAGACAGTACAGAAATGCAGGAAGGAGCTGGGCGCGGTGGCTCACGCCTGTAATCCCAGCACTTTGGGAGGCTGAGGAGGGTGGATCACGAGGTCAAGAGATCGAGACCATCCTGGTCAACATAGTGAAACCCCGTCTCTACTAAAAATACAAAAAATTAGCTGGGCATGGTGGCGTGTGCCTATAATCCCAGCTACTCAGGAGGCTGAGGCAGGAGAATTGCCTGAACCCAGGAGGCGGAGGTTGCGGTGAGCCGAGATCGCGCCATTGCACTCCAGCCTGGGTAACAAGAGCGAAACTCCGTCAAAAAAAAAAAAAGAAAAAAAGAAATGCAGGAAGGTCCAAGAACCAACAAGGAAGTCACTATGAGGAAACCAAGTGACAAAGGAGCAAAAGAGGAAGGAAGCCAGGAAGTCAGAGACACGTCAGAGACCAGTTCATGTAAGCCCATGGGGCAACGTGAGGATTCTCACTTCTATGAGTAAAATGAATTTACTTTCCATATTAATTTCCTTTGTTATCTAGGAGCCTTTACCTTTTCTAGATGTTTCAACCATCCCATATCTAGCATGGGAAATAAACAGAAGCTGTGTCTACACTTGACTCAGTGAGAGAATAAGGTAAATCGCAATAAGCAGCATTCCAGGGCCCCATTCTCAATCGGCTGGTGGCGAAGCCAGTGGGAATGCCACAGAGACCCACAGCAGATTATAAATTTATGGAGAAGAGGTAGTAGGCAAGGTCCAGAAACCTCTATCCATCTAGAAATGCACTTGCATTATCAACTGTGAAAAACATGAATTTAATTCCTAAGGAAGCTGTAAGATATTTAGAATACAATTTTATTATTTGTTTGAAGAATGCATAATTATGAATTAAATAATTCACAAAACTATCAAAGAACAAGATTTAAGTACAAAATAACTTCCAAAACAAAATATAGTAAATGACTATCCAGACAAGATAGATAACAAATGAGTAGCTTAGCAAAGCACGGAGGCGGATACCTGTAGTCCCAGCCACTCCAGAGGCTGAGGCAGAAGGACTGCTTGAACCTGGCATGTCAAGGCTATAGTGAGCCATGATTGTGCCATGGCACTGAAGCCTGGGCAACAGAGCAAGATCCTGTCTCAAAAATAAAGCAGGCCAGGCGTGGTGGCTCATGCCTGTAATACCAGCACTTTGGGAGGCTGAGGTGGGCAGATCACTTTGAGCTCAGGAGTTCAAAAGCAGCCTGAGCAACACGGCAAAACCCCATCTCAACTAAAAATATAAAAATTAGCTGGGCATGGTAGCACACACCTGTAATCCCAGCTACTCAGGAGGCTGAGGCTGGAGAATCACTTGAACCCAGGAGGCAGAGGTTGAAGTGAGCCATGATCGCACCCCTGCACTCCAACCTGGGCATCAGAGCAAGACTGTCTCTCTAAAATAAAATAAAACAAAACAAGCCAGGCCAGGCCAGGCCTGGTGGTTCATGCCTGTAATCTCAGCACTTTGGGAGGCCAAGGAGGGCAGATTACTTGAGCCCAGGAATTTGAGACCAGCCTGGACAACATGGTGAAACCCCATCACTACAAAAAAAAAAAAAAAAAAAATACAAAAAGTAGCCAGGTGTCGTGGTGCACACCTGTAGTCCCAACTGCCCAGGAGGCTGACCTGCAAGAATCGCTTGAACCCAGGCGGCGGAGGCTGCGGTGAAACAACGCTGCACCACTTGCACTCAAACCTGGGCAGCAGACTGAGATGTTGTCTCAAAAACAAAATAAAACAAAATAAAATTATGAAATATACAATGAATTGGACTAAAGTCATGCTAATATTAAAGCTAATTCAATTGTTCTTTATGTATAATGCATTTCAAGATCTACAGTGCTTTAAACATTACCATGAACCAAAGCAATTACTTTTGGGGAATAAATCCCTGTTTTCTACTAGTTCACATCATTTATTCCATAAATATTAAGCACCTATTACATAGTAGCAAACAAACATCCACAATTCTCAGGCCTCATAAACCTTAGAGCCTACTAAGAAAACAGGCATTGCAGAGGTATAATTACAGTAACATGTGATAACTGCTATAAATTCCAGGAAGCAGTAGCAGTCATAAGGATAGGGAGCAGGCCACAGGGCCTACTCTGGAAGTCAGAGAAGACAATACTATTGACACACAAACAAGTATCAGTGCAGTCGGCAGTTCCTGGAAACATCACGAAACCTTTTCACATCCCTTCCGAGTCAAAGTATAAATTCTCCGATATACCTTTTTATGGAAAATAACCCCGTGTTCTCTATTACATAGAGTATCTAATGTTTTTCTCCATTATTGTCAAAATTTCAGTTTGTTTTTCTCCATTATTGTCAAAATTTCAGTTTTTTTAAAAAACAAACATCTAAATACATATCTACTGTGCATTTTGAAACATTGTTCCTAAAGCCACCAAGAGAGTTAGCTTTTACCTTAAGAGTCTGTCTTTATTTATAAGCTATTAGGCTCAAACAAACAAAAACGTCCTTCAAAAAAGGCAGTCACTTTAGAGAATTATAACAGTGCTGGGATTGGCATAAAATAGTTCTATTTTCACTTTGACTACCTTTGCAACTAATTTTCAAGATTATGTCCTATTCTTGAAAAATAGGCTGTAATTAAATGTTTTAGGGAATTAAAGCACCAATGAATAAACATAATAAGCAATACAAATAAAAATCACAGCATGAATTACTACGAAGCCTGATAACAAGGCATTAAATTTATACTTTCAGAATGCGATTAAAAGGTTAACATTCACCCAAAACTCAAACTTCTTTGCAACTCTTCAAGGAATAAAGAGGTACAATTTACTTAACCTATGTTAAAATATACACATAGCTATAGCTTTTTAAAATATGATAAACTGGACAGTCACAGTAGCTCACATCTGTAATCCCAGCACTCTGGGAGGCTGAAGCAGGAGGATCACTTAAGTCCAAGACCAGCGTGGGGAACATAATGAGACTCTGACTTTACAACAACTTAAAAAAAAAAAAATGAGCTGAGAATGGTGATGTGTGCCTGGAGCCCAGGCTACTCAGAAGGCTGAGGTGGGAGGATCACTTGGGCCCATTGAAGCTGCAGTGAGCCATGGCTACACCACTGCATCAAAGCCTGGGGAACAAAATGAGACCCTGTCATTCATTCATTAATGTATTCATGCATGCATGCACACATGCATACAAAAAATACGGTAAATTATTATTGGGAACAGTTTGGCTGTGGTGCTATATGACAAGAGAAAGATCAAAGATTGCCTCTATCTTTTAGTCTAATGGTTATTTGATCAAATACATTAGCCCTTCAAACTGAAAAAATAATATACAGTGCTCTTAGGTTTACAGTGTCTAGAAAAGTTGATACTAGCAAAAAATCAATGATTTAATAATTTGGTCAGATGGTAATTCAATTAAAGCACATTAAGCATTATGGACACAAAAATGCCTCCGAAATCATTTCTGTCCTGAAGTGCTCAACCAGAGCACATTAAGCATTGTAGACACAAAAATGCCTTCAACATCATTTCTGTCCTAAAGTGCTCAACCTCTAGTGAGAGTGACTAGAACATAAATACAAATACATTCTGACACTATGACAGTTTATATGTAAGACGATGAAGGAATACAGAACAAGGGGGCTTTATCCAGCCCCAAGTTAGGGCAGAAGGTCAAAGAAGCTTCTTAAACAAGGTAATGCCTAAACTAAGTTCTTCAAGTGAGAAATTAGCCAAGCAAGGGAAACGTGAAAACAGAAGGAAGATGAAGGGATTCCAGACTGAGAACACTGCACAAGAAGATACTAATCACGTTATGAGTTGATAAACAAGGGGTTAACAGCACATTTCAGTACAGCAGCCTTAAACAAAAGAACATGGTCACGACTCAATACAGCTGTGTATTGAGTCTAAAGGGAACCTGACATACTTCTACTTAAGGAACCAGTAAATGAGCATTCCTAGTCCAAAAATCTGGAATCTGAAATGCTCCAAAATCCTAAACTTTTTAAGCACCAATATGATGCAACAGTGGAAAATTCCACCCCGACCACATGTGGCAAGTCGGAATCAAACTTGCTATATGCACAAAATCATGTAAAATATTTTATAAAATTACCTTCAGGCTATTGTATATATAACATAAATGAAATTTGTGTTTACGCTTGGAGGCCATTCCCAAGCCTAAATATATGCTTTGTTTTATATATATGCAAATATTCCAAAGTCCAAAAAAATTTTTAAATCTGACAAATTTTTAGTCCCAAGCATTTCAGCTAAGAGATACTCAACTGGGCCGGGCACAGTGGCTCACACCTGTAATCCCAGCACTTTGGGAGGCCGAGGCAGGTGGATCACTTAAGGTCAGGAGTTTGAGACCACCCTGGCCAACATGGTAAAACCCCATCTCTACTAAAAATACCAAAAAAAAAAAAAAAAAAAAAAAAATTAGCCAGGCATGGTGGTGCACACCTGTAATCCCAGATACTCAAGAGGCTGAGACAGGAGGATCACTTGAACCTGGGAGGCGGAGGCTGCAGTCAGCTAAGATCACGCCATCGCACTCCAGCCTGGGTGACAGAGTGAGACTTCATCTCAAAAATATAAAAAAAGAGATACTCAGACTGTATTATCAAATAATTAATAATGTAACCTTTCCAGAAGTTGAAAGTGATCACCTCACTCCTAATATTATAGTCACCCTTAGGTATTTGATTACATACCAGACTAGAAAGGCTGAGATACAAAGGACTCTGTGGCATTATAAGATTTACAATATGTTATACTAACAATAAGTAACATAAGAGGCATTATGGGTACTCTGAAATATAGCCACAAACTTGGTATTAGAGACCTGAGTTCAAGTGCCAGATTTGCTGTTTCTAAGCTATATGACATACTACTTCTCAGAATTTCATCAATAAAATAGGTAACAATAGCCACTCCAAAGGGATGTAATGAAAATTAAATAAGACAATGCAAATAGTATGCATAGTGCTTGTGTCACACAATAAATGCTCAACCAAGAGCTATTCTCATTACAGCACAAAGTTCAAGACAGGGAGTCCACCACGAGATCAGACCAGAGAGATAGGCTAGGACCAGATTATGGAAGAGGCTTACTAAGTTCAGTGCTGCATATGTTGATAGGGGTCCTGGTCTCACTGCTGAAGTCTGAAACTGGAAAAGAGATCTGGACTAGACTTTTGAGTCCTGTGAGTGGCAGTTTAAACCATGAGAACAGATGAGAACGGATGAAACTACTCAGGGAAAGCACAGGAAAAGGAGTCAGAAAACAGGAAAGAATGGAATCCTGAGAATTTTTGAAGAAAACCTTAAAACTGTGGTCAAAACAGAAAAAAAAAAAAAAAAAAAAAACAAAGAAATGGCAGTACTGGGAAGGGTTTACAGAAGGGTTAAGAGATACACAGTATCAAACAGTGTGTAATTCTGTCAATAAAAGTACTACTTTTTATAACTACCTCAAATTAAATACCTCAGAATTAAATCATCTCAGCTTTTCTCAACACTGCAGTAAACAGTGCTTTGAATTTAGATAGCTCAAAGGTATTTTACCATCTACTGTCACACTGTCGCTGCAAGGGGAGCAGGTACATGAGTCTCAAGGTTTCAGTGTTAATAAGTAGTTCACAGCAGTTTCCACAAGAAGTTTAAATACAATGGCTTGTAAAAATGTAAAAATAACTTTTATTTTATAAAGTAACTTGAATTTTTCATCTTTAAGTTTGTTCACATTTACATACACACAAAAATCAGGTGGCCAGGTAGTCCGGCTCATCTTCACCAAGATATCTTGGAATTTTTCTTCTGTTTTAGGCCCACACAATCAGAACTTAGTTCCTGTGCCTATTAGAAGGTTCACTAAAGTCATGATTGTGTGCTATTGATAAAACCTAACTATGATGTTTATAAAAAGCTAACCATAGACCAGGCATGGTGGCTCACACCTGTAATCCTAGCAGTTTGGGAGGCTGATCAGTTGAGCTCAGGACAGATCAGTTGAGCTCAGGAGTTTGAGTTCAGCCTGAGCAATATGGAAAAACCTTCTATCTACAAAAAATAACAAAACTTAGCCAGGTGTGGAAGTGTGTGCCTGTGGTTCCAGCTACTTGTGGGGCTGAAGTAAGAGGATGGCTTGAGCCTGGGAAGTCGAGGCTGCAGTGACCTGGGATCATGTCACTGCACTCTAGCCTGGGTGTCAGAGTGAGACTGTTAAAAAAAAAAAAAAAAAAAAAAAAATCTAAGCATAGCATTTTTCTGCTTCAAATACCTATAGAGACTCGTCTCAGCTTAGCAGCCCTCACTTCTGCCACTCCCAGGAGGCCTGCCATGCCAAGGATTCCCCCCATGCTGAGGATTACCCCAGCCCTACACAACCATCCCCTGCTGCTTTTTTTTTTTTTTTTTTTTTTTTTTTGAGATGGAGTTTCCTTCTTGTTACCCAGGCTGGAGTGCAATGGCACGATCTCAGCTCACCGCAACCTCTGCCTCCTGGCTTCAGGCAATTCTCCTGCCTCAGCCTCCTGAGTAGCTGGGATTACAGGCACACACCACCATGCCCAGCTGATTTTTTGTATTTTTAGTAGAGACGGGGTTTCACCATGTTGACCAGGATGGTCTCGATCTCTTGACCTCGTGATCCACCCGCCTCGGCCTCCCAAAGTGCTGGGATTACAGGCTTGAGCCACCGCGCCCGGCCCCTGCTGCTTTTTATACAGGCTCCTCTACCAGAACTTGTCATCATCAGTTCTGTAGCACCTACATCAAATGTGCTGGGTACACAGTAGGGATCTTCACTGAAAGAAACAACATAAACATGTTCTGACCCCCATTTGCTGAGTAAATACTAAGTAAAATTAAAATACATAACTTTAGGTTGAGAAAGTACTATAATGAAATTAATTTACATAAACCACATCAAAATAGTTCAATAGTAAAGAAAATGATTAAATCCACATATATCAAATTGGCTGAAGCGTTCTGAAAAAGCTTACATGCTCATGGTTTCAAGGTACTAATTAACAGAAAGACTTCCCAAACTGCAACAGGGGTCTCAGCAGCTTGGGTGGCGGGAGGAGTGCCAGCAGCCAGGCAGCCCAGCTTCTCCGAGGCTCTCAGCGCCGCGGCCCACAGGTGCCCAGCAAGCGCCCTTCCCACCACCAAGATGCCCAAGAGGAAGGTCAGCTCAGCCGAAGGGGTGGCGAAGGAAGAGCCCAAGAGGAGATCGGCACTCTCGTCAGCTAAACCTGCTCCTGCAAAAGTGGAAACGAAGCCAAAAAGGCATCAGGAAAGGAGAACTCTTCAGACTAAAACAATGCAAACAAAAGGGAATAGCGGAGCAAAGGGAAAACAGGCCAAAGTGGCTAACCAGCACACTAAAGATTTACCTGCAGAAAACGAAGCAACTAAAACCGAGGAGAATCCAACCTCTGATGGAGCAGGAGAGAAAGAAGCCAAGTCGGATTAATATTATACATCACGTCTCTTCTGCAGTCCCTGCCTCCCTTCCTGTACAACCCAGAGTATTTTTATCAACTGTTTTGTGCGTGCACATTTTTCAGTAGCTCTAGGAACATCTTTAAGAAGCAGGAAATCCCACCTCATCCCATTGTTAAGTATAAATGTTTTTCAAGAGGTGTAATAATTCTCTGGTTGTTTTTTTTTTTTTTGGTGAAACCAGAAAATAGTATGGGAATATTGAATGGCAGGAAGTTTTGACTGTCTTGGATATCAGTTCAACATTCCATAGTTAGGGGGCTTAGTTTTTATCAATGGTAATACAAAAAAAAAAAAAAAAAAGGTAATACAAAGCATACTGAATGTTAATACAGAGTCAGAATCCTGTCTTTAGTGTCTTGAGCCTTTTAAATTACTTCTATTCCCATGTCGTTTTTTCATGGAATTGTTCCCTAAAGAAAAGCACTGCTTGCTCACGGCTCTCCCTGTCAGAACTGCGCACACTGCAACACCTTTGGTCACAGAAGCCCTGCTTTCCTAACAACTGTGTGAATGTGCTGCCAAAGATCGAAAATTTGAGTGTATAGTTGACATGCCATTGAACTGTGAATTGGTGGAACACGTGCAGCTTATCAACACTTGTAGATCCTGGCTCTTGATATCCTCTTAAAAAAATTTGCCTCCAAATGTTAAGTTGGAATGTCATTATAATAACTACTTAAAAAAAAGAGGCCGGGCACAGTGGTGCACACCTATGACCCCAGCATTTTGGGTGGCCAAGGTGGGAGAATTACTTGAGGCCAGGAGTTTGAGACACGCCTGGGCAAAATGGTGAGACCTTGTCTCTACAAATAATGAAAAAATTAGCCAGGCAGGGTGGCATGGAACTGTGGTGCCAGCTACTTGGGAGGCTGAAGTGGGAGGATCGCTTGAGCCCGGGCAGTCAAGGCATGGCAGTGAGCCATGATCACTCCTCTGCACTCCAGCCTGGGCAACAGAGAGAGATCCTGTCTCAGAAAACAGAACTATAATACAGGTTTTCTAGATTTTTGCTATGTATGTATGTCAAGAATATGTTAAGTATTGTGTGCAAATTGAAATGTCTGTATACTTATTCTCAATACAACAAATAAAATCTCAATTACAAAAGAAAAAACTGAAATAATACCTAGTAAAAAAAAAAAAAAAAAAAAAGGGGGCCGGGCGCGGTGGCTCAAGCCTGTAATCCCAGCACTTCGGGATGCCGAGGTGGGTGGATCACGAGGTCAAGAGATCGAGACCATCCTGGTCAATATGGTGAAACCCCGTCTCTACTAAAAATACAATAAATTAGCTGGGCATGGCGGCGCGTGCCTGTAATCCTAGTTACTCAGTAGGCTGAGGCAGGAGAATTGCCTGAACCCAGGAGGCGGAGGTTGCGGTGAGCCGAGATCGCGCCATTGCACTCCAGCCTGGGTAACAAGAGCGAAACTCCGTCTCAAAAAAAAAAAAAAAAAAAAAAAAAAAAAAAATCACCTTTCGACTCTTGCATATTCTATCATTATATTTTACATGCACTATTTCATCACCTCGATGCCACCTGGTATAAAAAACAGGCGCTCAAAATGTGTAGATAAGAATGAATAAGGGTTAGGATCTGCTATAAGGACAAGAGATCTACTGAACATCATAGATTCACACACCTTGTGTTCTGTACTCAGGATGAAGGCTGCTCCCTACAGGCTAAATAAACTGCAATAGAATAAAATTTTTTAATTTTAAAAGTTAAAATATAAAAGTACTAGAAAAAAGCATATGTGAAAGTAATCTCGGAATGCTGCAGAACTTTCTAAACAATACAGTGTAAGAGTAATATATTTGAATTTAAATATTTTATTTTATTTTATTTGAGATAAGGTTTCACTTTGTCGTGCAGGCTAGAGTGCAATGGGGTAACTTTGGCTCACTGCAGCCTCCACCTCTTGGGCTCAAGCGATACTCCCGCCTCAGCCCCCCAAGTAGCTGGAACTACAGGCACATGCCACTACATCTGGCTAGTTTTTTAAAATTTTTTATAGGGACAGGGACTCACTATATTGCCCAGGCTGATCTCAAACTCCTGGTTTCAAGCAATCTTCCCAAAGTGCTAGGAATACAGATGTGAGCCACCAAACCCAGACTGAATTTAAAAATGTTAAATGTATTTTAAAATCACAAAATTTAAAAATATAACCAATGGAAAGAAAATACTTGCAACATTACATGGCTGACTGTTGAACAACACACATTTGAACTGCACAGGTCTACTTATACAGATGTTTTTCAGTGAAAGTTCCACGTGTACCTGCCTCTCCTCGTTCTCTGCCTCCCCGGCCTCCAATTCTACCTCTTCTGCTTCTGCAGTTCCTGAGACAGCGAGACCAACCCCTCTTCCTCTTTCTCCTCAGCCTACTCAGTGGGAAGAGGATGCGGATGAAGACTGTTATGATCCACTTCCACTTAATAGTCAATATATATTTTTTATCTTCCTCATGATTTTTTTTTTTTTTTTTTTAGAGAGAGCCTTGCCCTGTCACCCAGGCTGCAGTGCTGTGATTTCGGGTCACTGCAACCTCCAACTCCCAGGCTCAGGTGATTCTCTTGCTTCAACCTCCTGAGTAGCTGGGACTATAGGCACCGACCACCGCACCCCACTAATTTTTGTATTTTTAATAGAGACAGGGTTTTGCCATGGTGCCCAAGCTGGTCTCGAACTCCTGACCTCAAGTGATCCACCCGCCTCGGCCTCCCAAAGTGCTGGGATTACAGGAATAAGCCACCACACATCACCCCTTATGATTTTCTTGGTATTTATTTATCTGGGTTTTTTTGTTTGTTTGTTTTTGTTTTGTTTTTTTTTTTGAGAGGGACTTTTGTTCTTATTGCCCAGTCTGGAGTGCAGTGGCGTGATCTTGGCTCACTGCAACCTCCGCCTCCCAGGTTCAAATTATTCTCCTGCCTCAGCTTCCCAAGTAGCTGGGATTGCAGGCACGTGCCACCATACCTAGCTAGTTTTGTATTTTTAGTAGTGACAGGGTTTCTCCTTGTTGGTCAGGCTGATCTCAAACTCCCCGACCTCAGGTGATCCACCTGCCTTGGCCTCCCAAACTGCTGGGATTACAGTTGTGAGCCACCACGCCCGGCCCTGTTATGATTTTCTTAACATTTCCCTTCCTCTAACTTTAAGAATACAATAAATTATACATGTAACAAAAACAAAAATGTGGCAACTGACTATTCATGTTATCAGTAAGGCTTCTAGTCAACAGTTGGCTATTAGCAGTTAAGTTTTTTGGAAGTCAAAAGTTACACGTGGATTTCTTACTGTGCTGGCAAGGCAGGGTTCAGTGCTCCTAAACCCTGTTGTTCAAGTGGCAATTGTACTACAGAGAAATAGCAGCTAAGATAAATATTTAAATTTTTTTTTCTTTTAAATTCAGTAAGAAAACACACCTGCCCCAATAGAAAAAACACAAAAGGAATCAATGGACCATTCCTGAGAGAAACACAAATATACAAGGGAAAAAAAGTTGATCTTCCTAGTAATCAAAAAAAAAAAAAAAAAAGTAGAAAGCAGTTTCCCCTGTAACCTGAAGAAGATGAAAAACATGACTCCTGACTGCCTCAGTGAAAAAGGTACTCTAATGCACTGCTAGTAGGAGTAGAAATTGGGTTTTTTTAAAAAATCCTTTCTGAAGAGCAATTTGGTAACATATTTTTAAAAGAAACAATAAAAGTTTGGAGAGTTTACTTCCACATTCATCAATTCATAAACGGATTTGTACCAAACTGAACCAAAATTCATGAATGGGGCCATGCCAAACCCCAAATAAGTGGGGTTCAGAACTTTTATAAGATCTGACTCCTGACTTAGACTGGTGCCTTAACGCTTGATCTCTGACTCCTGCCTTGTGGTTATCACACAGTCTAATCCCTGATTCCAATCTCAGTAACAATATGCTCACTAGGAGAGCATCTAAGTGAGGAGAGGTGGGTAAATACAACGGGTACAGAATATACTAAATAAATCTGCAAAGTAATCCTAAACATAGTATATTAATAACCATCATCTTTTTTACACATTCACTCCTCACATTTGTCAAAATAGCTTCATAAAATATAAACATGAAGAGGAATCTTAAGAAATTCTACAGAAAACAAATACATAATACTCAAACCGGCCATTTCTGTTGGAAAAATACAGAATATCATAAAAGCACAAAATTCTGTTTTTAAAATTAGCTTGTTCAACTCTCACTTATTCCAGTAAAATAAATGGAACTATTTGCTAATGTTATTCACTTAAGGATGATTATTACTAACAAAAATCGAACTACATGTAATATTTAGTAAATATTTATTCAGCCACTATTATAAATCAGGCATTGAACAAGGGGACTTAAAAGATGGGTGTAATACAACTTGTTTTCAAGTCCTTTGACAGTTACCCAAATTGAGATGTTTACCTATGTCCTTTATATTAGGCTATGATCTAGAGCAGTAAGGTCCAACAGAAATATAACTAAGCCACATATACGCTGTAATTCTCTAGTAATCTCATTTTTTAAAAAGTAAAAAATAAAAAAAATGTTAATTCTAATATAATTAACCCAACATACGCAAAAGTTATCATATCAACATGTAATCAAACTTTTAAAAGACTGATGATACTGGCTTTTTTGCATAATAAATATTTCAAAACCCACTATGTGTTAAACATACGCTTATAGCATCTCCATTCAGACTAGCCACATTTCAAATGCTCCACAGCCACATGTAGCTGGTTGTTACCCTACCGGACAGGACAAATCTAGAGGCTGCTTATTAAAGAAAAAAAAATACACACTGGGTTATGCAGCTGAATTTTAATAATGATTTATTGAGAAATTTAATTATCTGTTCTACTTGGAAATCAATACATTCTCCTTTCTCTGAACTCTGTCTTTTCTTTAAACAAATCATTCCAGAGTATATATACAAAAGCTGCTAAGAAAAGCAGACTAAGAATGACGAATTAAATTGAACACTACTTCGAATTACACATGTTCACTGTTTTTAGTTAAAAGAACGTAAGTTATGATGCCTTCATAAAAACCAATTTTTTTTTTTTTTTTTTTTTTTTTTTTTTTTTTGAGACATAGTTCCGCTCTTGCTACCCAGGCTGGAGTGCAATGGCGCAATCTCGGCTCACTGCAACCTTGCCTCCTTGGTTCAGGACATTCTCCTGCCTCAGCCTCCTGAGTAGCTGGGATTACAGGCATGTGCCACCATGCCCAGCTAATTTTTTGTATTTTTAGTAGAGACAGGATTTCACCATGTTGACCAGGATGGTCTCAATCTCTTGACCTCGTGATCCACCCGCCTGGGCCTCCCAAAGTGCTGGGATTACAGGCTTGAGCCACCGCGCCCGGCCTCAAATACATTTCTTAAAAACAGACACAGAGGAAAATGAAGAGCCAACTATTATTAATGATTCTCAAGTACAGACTTTGAAATTAGACTAGAACATAATTAAAACAAATAAATCAGAATCTATGAACCCAAAATCACATCTTTGACTTTCTTTTTTTTTTTTTTTTTTTGAGACAGGGTTGTATCGTGTCACCCAGGCTGGAGTGCACTGGTGGGATCCCGGCTCACTGCAATCTTTGCTGCCCGGGCTTAAGTGATCCTACTGACTCAGCCTCCAGAGTAGCTGGGACTACAGGCGCGGGTCACCACGCTCCCTTATTGTAGAAATGGGGTTTCCCCATATTGCCTGGGCTGGTGTCAAACGCCAGAACTCCAACGATCCGTCTGCCTTGGTCTCCCTAAGTGCTGGGATTACAGGTGTGAGCCACCACACCTATCCCATCTTTGACTCATACAGTGGATCTTACCACTTACATTTAAAACATTCAAATTCAGTTAAAAGCTAATAATGGGGAAAAATCTCAAATTTCATTTAAAGGTTTTTTGGGTTTTTTTTCCGAACCTCGACGTGTATTTTCCAATATAATGTGTAAGTGCAGCTTTTCAGATTCATTCTTTAAAGAGCAGCTCATTCTCATGGCAAATATATTTAAAATGTTAACAATTAAAAAGAAAAAAAAAAACTTTGCTTTATCTTACCCTTGGCCAAATTCCAGATTCGAACTACGTAAAGTCACCATTATTTGTATAACAAACACAAAGTCTCTTTATAGGTTAGGCCTCAGTTTCAAAAGCATCAATTCACTGACTACTTCCTAAGACAGTGCCTGGCACAAGGTACTGTCTTAACAAATGTTTGTTGAATGAATGAGTATCAAGTTACAGGTACTAATTATTAATATATCTAGCATTTCAAAATGAAATATTAAAAAGTAGACCCGGCCGGGCGCTGTGGCTCACGCCTGTCATCCCAGGACTTTGGGAAGCCGAGGGGGGCAGATCACGAGGTCAAGCGATCGAGACCATCATGGCCAGCATGGTGAAACCCCGTCTCTACTAAAAATACAAAAATTAGCTGGGTGTGGTGGCGCGCGCCTGTAGTCCCAGCTACTCCGGAGGCTGAGGCAGGAGAATTGCTTGAACCTGGGAGGCGGAGGTTGCAGTGAGCCGAGATGGCGCCACTGCACTCCAGCCTGGCGCCTGGCAACGGAACCAGGCTCTGTCTCAAAAAAAAAAAAAAAAAAAAAAGCCGGGCGCGGTGGCTCAAGCCTGTAATTCCAGCACTTTGGGAGGCTGAGGCGGGTGGATCACAAGGTCGAGAGATCGAGAACATCCCGGTCAACATGATGGAACCCCGTCTCTACTAAAAATACAAAAAACTAGCTGGGCATGTTGGCGCGTGCCTGTAATCCCAGCTACTCAGGAGGCTGAGGCAGGAGAATTGCCTGAGCCCAGGAGGCGGAGGTTGCGGTGAGCCGAGATCGCGCCATTGCACTCCAGCCTGGGTAACAAGAGCGAAACTCCGTCTCAAAAAAAAAAAAAAAAAAAAAAAAAAAAAAGTGGACTCTTTCAATTAAAAGATTTTAGTAGAGACCATATGAAAATTGGAAGCTACATTACAGTTATAAAAAACACTATCCAGCACTTGTTCTCATTGAATACAATATTTCTAAGGCACTAAGTATTATTCCTCTCATTTAATATATAAGAAAGGTGGGGCCGAAAATGGTTGAGTCATGTAATTATTAAGCAGTGGAGCCAGATTTCAAGCCCACGTCCTCAAACACAACTGTGCGGGGGTGTGTGGAGGTGTAAATTGGAATGGAATGTGCCGATGTCAGGAAAACTATATTCCATGTCCCCTCTTTTTAAAAGAATTTCCATTACAAAAAGCTTCAGAGGAAAAACACAACGGACAGTTTTAATTGCACACACGCACACATACACACAAACTTTTTAAGAAATTCAAACCTATTTAAAATACAACGGTGATAAACATTGTCGATCGTAAGGTAAAGTCGACCGGACAAGCAGGCGACATCCTCCCTCTCTCCCTCCCGGGCCAAGTCCCCCTGGGAATGAGAGCATCCCTTGCGGCCTGGCATAGACTCGTCCGGGCGCGGGGAAGCGGCGGCCCGCCCCAAACGCCGCCGGCGGCCCGGACACCCGCTCCATCCTACCTGACGGGCTCCCGCCACCGCTTGATCCAGCCGCAGCAAGTGGCCATCAGGCTGAACATCCCGGGTCGCTCCTCCCGCCACTTCCCATCCGAGCCCGGGGCGGACCCCGCAACCCAGCGCTTCTCCGGGGGCCTCCGCCACTCCGAGGCGCCCCACGGGGGATAAGCCGGGAGGAAACGCCGGGAGGGAGGTGAAGGCGGCCGGCCGCAGCAGTCGGCCCTGCCAGCCGCGTCGGTCCGCGACGACCGCCCTCTTAGCCAAGGGACAGCCTGGCCCAAGACGCAGAAACACCGCGGCCGAGTTAGCGGGACTCGGCTAAAGAAAAGCCCCGCGTCGACGGGCTGACGTCACTTCGAGGCGCGGGAGGCGTTCCTCAGGCAACGCCCGTCCTGCGCTCCTCCAATCATCAGTTGAGGGCCTGCGCTGGAGGCCTCTGAGTGGCTGAAGAGTGCTGGCTACGCCCCCGGGCGCGAGACCAGGAAAGGAGAAAGGGGCGTGCTCTAGAAGAAGGAGGCGGAGCTCGAGGAAGCGCATTCTCGTAACTAGGCAACCGGAGCGTCCGGAGATAAGCTGAGGGATCCCAGACAAATCTGGAGCAAGGCCTGTCTTTCTACGCACACGAAATGTGTTGCCAATCCATGGTGCTGTTCCTTTTCTGTCTCCAGTGTCCCCAGCTGAGATGCAGAGATCTCAGGTCTTGTGCATGAGATTTTTTTTCTTTCTTTCTTGTTTTTTCCTGGTTTGTTTTTTTATGCGCAAGGATGGGAACCCTCCAGGATTCTGGCAGACTCAGGCAGCATAACTACAGAAACGATACACTGATACAATTCCTATGAGTTAAAGACAAAGGGGAAATTAGCTTGCTAAATTTTCTCAATAGTTCAGATGAGGGTGAAGTCTCACTTTCTAAAACGTTTATCACTGTTACATATGTGAAATGGAATTGTATGATATTTGTTGTAGGGGGGACTGTGATTACAAAAGAAAAATGCATTTGTTGTAGGAAATGTGACAAATACTAAAAAGAAACAAGATGAAAATGAGATCTTACCGAACCACGCAAAGATAACCATTGTGATGTGTTTGTTTAGGATTCTTAGTACATAGATTACTGGCTATTTGGTTTCCACAAGATGAAGATTGTTATCTATGTTTTGTAATGGTTTATTTTTTTTTCGAATATATGTAATATTTGCATTTCTTTTATATTCTTTGGAGAAAAAGACATGACAACGACATTCCTGGAGGGGAAAAAAAAAATCATGCACAAGAGATAGGGGACAGGAGAAAGTTTTAGAGACAGAAACTTTCCTTCTGAGGCCTGTACTTCGGGATATCTTTTTCTAAGCTCCAACAAATCAAATAAAAAAAAAAAACAAATCAAACCCTATCTATAACATGGAAATGAAAAGACCTCCTTTGCCAGGTTACTAAGATGATGAAATGAGAGAAATGGAGCTCAAGTGCAATTTCTGATAAACAATAGACAGCAAATTTTGAAGTTGATATTACCTATCACATAAACACTTATGGTATGTGGTCTCCTACCTCCAAATATCCATGGTAGGAGATAAGAGAAAAGGGCAGGATCCGACTGCAATTCCGCCTTAACTCCAAGCCGATTTAGGACTGTTTCTGCTGACTCTACTTTCACGACTCACTTTCTTAAACTAGTGTCTTGAGAACCCTGAAGTTCTATTGTTTGTATTGACTCTTTGATCCATTTACTATGATTGGGCTTCTGTCCCATCTAACTACGGAAAATATATTTTTGATATATCTTCCTAGTTACCAAATCAGTTCTATTTTCTATCATTTTATATATATATATAATATGGTTAACTTTTCTAAAACTGTTTCCTGCCTTGGTCTTTCAGTTTTGCACTGTACTGCCCTACCCTGACTCTCTTCTTCTCCTCCTCCTCCTCCTTCTCCTCCACCTCCTCCTCCTCCTCTTCCTCCTTCTTCTTCATGTATTACAGAACGCTTCATGAATTTGCATGGCATCTTTGTGCAGGGACCATGCTCATCTTCTCTGTATCATTCCAGTTTAGTACATGTGCTGCTGAAGCGAATACAACCCCTGGTTCTCTTCCGATCTCCCTGACCACTCCTCCTCTAGCTTTCTATATGTAACCTCTAAGACATGACCTTATCCCTCTGCTTTTTTTTAAGGATGTTCTTTTGTAGAATTTGATTATTACTCCTGTGACTGAAGAGTCTCACAATGTGTATGTCTCTTGAGCATTTTTGGAACCATAGTCAGTACTGTTTTTTACAAATATACATACAACAAAAGTTTTGCAGTAAATCCTCACTTATCTTCATCCAGAGGTTCTTAGAAACTATAATTTCAAACAAAATCACATGTAATAAAACCAATTTTACCATAGACAAATTGATATAAACCAGAGTTAAGTTCCCGTGGCATATTTTTGGTCACAAAAACATCACCAAACTTCAAAATAAAGATGCCAATACTAGTAATAGTAAACATTGAAATAAATGTGAGCTATATATACATTTAAGAGAGATTAATGACAAGTAAGATAATTCTTTATTCATTTATTCCAGTTCAGGGTCACAGGTGGCATCATCTCTGGGTAAAAGGTGAGAACTAGCTCTCAACAGGACACCAGTCTGTCACAGTGTGCTCTCACACACGCCCACACTCACTTAGACTAGGACAGTTTAGAAGCATCAATTCACCTAAGATGCATATCTTTGGGGTGTGGGAGGAAACTGGAATACCTGAAGAAAACCCATGCAGACTTGGGGAGAACGTGCAAACTCCATATACACAGTGGTCTGGGCCAGTAATCGATTTTTTTTTCTCAGCTGTGTCATAATGAAACAATGCTATTAAAGCACCTGCTCTACTCATGCCTTCCCCATTTCTGCTAGTGATAACATTACCGAGCATTCCTGATGCCAACATGCAGTGCCTTAGCAAAGTTGACTCTTAGTTTTCCTTTTTTTTTTTTTTTTTAAAGATGGGGTTTCACCATGTTGGTCAGGCTGGTCTTGAACTCCCGACCTCAGGTGATCCACTCGCCTTGGCCTCCAAAGTGCTTGGATTACAGGCGTGAGCCACCACACCCGGCCGACTCTTAGTTTTTCCATATCTTAAGTGGCTTGATAGCCATAAATGCTTCTCACCATGTGGAGTTCTCTTTTCTTACAGGCACATGAAATAACAGTTATTCCCACCCTCTGGAAGTCAGGCAGGCATACCACATGCCTGGCTTTGTCTAATGAAATGTTAAGTGGTATGCCACTTCTTGGCAAAACTATGAAAGAGCTGGGGCACAATTCTCAATGTGCTCTCTTCTCTTGCCGTGGTAATTGTAGATGACTATGTTGACTTTGAGGGACTGTAAAATCAAAGCAGCATGAAATGCTGAGTTAACACATGGAAGACAGTTACCTTGAAGGTCAAGCAGACTTGTAGTGGACTTCCAATGAGCAAGAGATAAACACTTGTTATCTAAAACACTGTAAATTTCTGGCTTTTTAGTGTGTAATCTGGTTTGTTCTGAATGATGACAACAGCCATGCTGCTATGATTTAGTTAACACTGTCATTTCAGGATCATTATTAATATTTTGGTCTAAATATTCCTAGACACACATTGTTGAATTAAATTGAATGAAATATTTATGGACCAGTAACTGTTCTAAGCACTCAGAATATAGTTGTGAACAAAACCTTTAAAAATTCCTGCCCTCGGGCCGGGCGCGGTGGCTCAAGCCTGCAATCCCAGCACTTTGGGAGGCCAAGGTGGGTGGATCACGAGGTCAAGAGATCGAGACCATCCTAGTCAACATGGTGAAAGCCCGTCTCTACTAAAAAATACACTGTAATCCCAGCACTTTGGGAGGCCGAGGCGGGTGGATCACGAGGCCGAGAGATCGAGACCATCCTGGTCAACATGGTGAAACCCCGTCTCTACTAAAAATATAAAAAATTAGCTGGGCATGGTGGCGCGTGCCTGTAATCCCAGCTACTCAGGAGGCTGAGGCAGGAGAATTGCTTGAACCCAGGAGGCGGAGGTTGCGGTGAGCCAAGATCGCGCCATTGCACTCCAGCCTGGGTAACAAGAGCGAAACTCCGTCTCAAAAAAAAAAAAAAAAAAAAAAAATACAAAAATTAGCTGGGCATGGTGGCGCGTGCCTGTAATCCCAGCTACTCGGGAGGCTGAGACAGGAGAATTGCCTGAACCCGGGAGGTGGAGGTTGCGTTGAGCCGAGATCGCGCCATTGCACTCCAGCCTGGGTAACAAGAGCGAAACTCTGTCTCAAAAAAAAAAAAAAAAAAAAAAAAGAACTGTGTTAAAACCAAAGTTTGGCTAAATGGGATTACCAAGTATCAATCAATATTGAGCTAAAGGCAGATATCACCATCACAAAGTGAATTTCTGAGATTTAAAACCCAGAATTTTATCCAATGATGTATTATCAAATTGTATATTAATAGATTCCAGATGGTTTTACAAAGTTTGACATTATGAGGTCGGGCGCGGTGGCTCATGCCTATAATCCCAGCACTTTGGGAGGCCGAGGCAGGTGGATTGCTTGAAGTCAGGAGTTAGAGACCAGCCTGGCCAACATGGTGAAACCCTGTCTTTAAAAAAGAAAAGAAAAGAAAAGAAAAGAAACAAAGTTTGACATTATGGGGTAGGACACATAAATTTTCAGTGCTGACAATTATTACTGACAGTGTGATGCAAATTTGTGGTGTTAAAGGATGCCCAGGCCAAGAGAAGTGACTCACGCCTGTAATCCCAAAGCTTTGTGAGGCCAAGACAAGAGAATCCCTTGAGGTCAGGGGTTCCAGACCATCTCTACCAAAAATAAATAAATAAATAAAAACAAAGTAAAAATTAGCCTGGCATACAGGTATGTGACCATAGTCCTAGGTACTTGAGAGACCGAGAGAGGAGGATGCTGGAGTCCAGAAGTTTGAGGCTGCAGTGAGCTATGATTGCACCACTGCACTCCAGCCTGGGCAACACAGTGAGACCCTGTCTCAGATAAATAAATAAATAAAGCTGGGTGCTGTGGCTCACACCTGTAATCTCAGCACTTTGGGAAGCTAAGGCGGGCAGATCCATTGAGGTCAGGAGTTCAAAACCAGCCTGGCCAACATGGTAAAACCATGTCTCTACCAAAAATACAAAAAAAAATTGGCCAGGCATGGTGGCAGACATCTGTAATCCCAGCTACTCAGGAGGCTGAGACAGGAGAATTGCTTGAACCTGGAATGCTGAGGTTGCAGTGAGCTGAGATCGCACCACTGCATTACAGCCTGGGTGACAGAGTAAGACTGTGTCAAAACAAATTTTTTTAATTAAAAAATAGGTGTATAGATAGCTATTCACTTTCAACTGAAGTCTTTAGAGGAGCAAGCTTTTTTTTAAGAGAGCTTATTCTAATATTCCCTTCTTTTCTTCATATTCTTTATATTTTTGTATGCTTATATGATTTGTTATGAATGTTGTTGATTCATGATTTTAGAAGTTTTTCCTCCTTAGAAATTTTTGAGATCTCAAAATTGATATTCTTCTCTTATTTCCTTCTCACAAGATGAGGAGATTCCCAAATAGGGGTTTTACTTGGAAGACTTCTGGCCTAAATAAATTTACATATTTAATTAAATATGGTAATTAAAGGTGATTTTGTTTAACATAATTGAAACAATTCTATAGATATTAAAATTATATTTATATTTAAGTAGGTTGGGACTGAGAAAAAAGTGGTATATAGACCAACTTGTTGAAGTCAAACAAACCAAGAAAGAAGAGAATTTAAAAGAGAGAAAGGTCATAAATACACTCAATAATTCTACTTTGAATAAGATCAAGAGGTTCAGGACATGCCACCCAAAAATATAACATTTAGATATATGGGTTATTTTGTGGTCAAGGCAATCAAGAATCAGCAGAAGTAGAGAAAGCTTTTTACCACCCCTTCACCTGTAAAATAAATTTCCCCTTGTAAAGAAAATCTACAATTACCAAAGAAATTTTCATTAGTAAATGTGTCTATCTGTGCCAAGAAGACAGCTACTCCCAGAGACAACTTTTACTACCCAAGAGACCCACATGACAAGGCAACCTTTATCAAGCACACATTTCCTTTCCTTCCCTTCTCTTTATTTGCCTTGTCTACCCCAAGAAGCCTCAAACCCCTATTCCTTTCCATAGCTCGGGATGATATACATCTTAGTCATCTGGATACCTCCTGGAGTCTCATATTTTTGTGAAATTCCCATGCATACATGTGTAATTAAATATTGTTTTCTCCTCTTTCTCTATGCCCATTTAATTTTTTTTTTTTTTTTTTTTTTTTTTTTTTTTTTTTTTTTGAGACGGAGTTTGGCTCTTGTTACCCAGGCTGGAGTGCAATGGCGCGATCTCGGCTCACCGCAACCTCCGCCTCCTGGGTTCAGGCAATTCTCCTGCCTCAGCCTCCTGAGTAGCTGGGATTACAGGCACGCGCCACTATGCCCAACTAGTTTTTTGTATTTTTAGTAGAGACGGGGTTTCACTATGTTGACCAGGATGGTCCCGATCTCTTGACCTTGTGATCCACGCGCCTCAGCCTCCCAAAGTGCTGAGATTACAGGCGTGAGCCACCGCACCCGGCCTGCCCATTTAATTCTTATACCAGCCACAGAAACTGCAAGGGTAGTGGGAAGCATCTTTCTTCCTCTACTGAGTGAATGTGAACTCGTCAGCCCAAGTTCTTATTAGAAAAAGTAGGCCGTGTGCAGTGGTTCACACTTGTAATCCCAACTTTGGGAGATGGAGGCGGGTGGATCACAAGATCAGGAGTTCGAGACCAGCCTGGCCAACATGGTGAAACCTCGTCTCTACTAAAAATACAAAAATCAGCCGGGCATAGTGGCGGGTGCCTATAATCCCAGCTACTCGGGAGGCTGAGGCAGGAGAATTGCTTGAACCTGGGAGGCAGAGGTTGCAGTTAGCCGAGACTGTGCCATTGCACTCCAGCCTGGGTGACAGAGCAAGACTTCATCTCAAAAAAAAAAAAAAAACCCAATACCCAAAACCAAAAAAACCTCAAATAAACAAAAAGAAAAAGGACTCCAATATTCAACAACTTCCATGCAGCTGGCTCACAGAAGCATAAAAATCTAGAACTGGAAGAGATCTTTGAAATATAATCACACCATCAAATTTCACTTACACTCTCAGGAAATCAATTGATATTTCATTGGGCAGAAATATTGGAATAACAGTAAATACGCATTGTGTATGTAACAATAATAGAGTCATTGCTGCACGCACACTTCAGTCAATATGAACAGACATTGGGGTTGCAGCAGAGAAAGAGGCTTAGAGGGCCACTAAACGGAACCTCAAATCCATCTCTCCAATGAGTTTGGGGCCAGGATTTTTAGGAGTTTTGGAGTGAGCTGAAGTGTGGAGATCTTTGGTTGAAGAGTACAGGATGAGGTTTGGGATGGGAATGAAGGAGCTGGATTATGCGGATTCCTCTGTCAGGGTCTTCAAACACAACGAAAAGCTTTATGATTGTAATATCAGAAACCCTACCTATCTTAAAGCGCTATGATTCTAATGTCGGAAATCCTATCCATAGGAAAAATGGGGATGCAAAAGTGCAACTTGATTATTCTTTAATTATGAATGTATTTCTGTCCAGAATTCTTGTTAACCCTACGTGGATGGCTTCAAGTGCTGCTAGTTAAGGCACAGTAATTGCTTCATATGTTACCTCCGGAAATCCTTACATCAGCACTATGAAACGTATTATCCCCATTTTAGGGATGGCACAACTGAGATTTTAGAGAGGTTAAGCAATTTACTTAGTTACAGAACTAGTAAGTGGCATAATATTGCCATTTGAATTCAGGCAGTTCAGCTTCAGCGATAGCCTTAAACATATTTCAAATGTGTACGTATGCCTAAGGACAAAAACTAGAGGTAATATGCGAAAAATAAAATGAGGTGTTTGAAGGTACTGGAATTTGATACATTTTCGATTTTTTCTAAAACATGTTTTGCCATGGTTTTTTCTTTTTCTATCATAAATACAAGACCCCCCCCCCAAAAAAAATGTGGCTGATCAGAATGACCCCATTTGCTTTTAGTTTCACCGTAGTTCTTCCGAAAGTCTCGCTGACTTCCAGGTACTGGTTAATATCTCCACGGACGAGTCAGTCTCTCACTACGTCTCCCTTCGCCCCTGGAGATCCTTTCTCTTGAACCCTGGAAGTTCTCCTGACCAGTCAGAGAACTGCGTTCCCCATCCCTTCCCCTGTGGAAACCTCATCGCGGAGGGAAGCACGGAAAAGCAGGAACCCGGCAGCGGGCGAGGTGCCCGGGCTGTGTTTACCAGGCCTGCAGCGTTCTCCGGCGCCCATCCCCCAGCTCCGAAAAGCTTCCTGGAAATGTCCTCGTTATCGCTTCCCCTCCCGGGCTGGGGGCTGGGAGCGGGCGGTCCCCTCCGCCCCCGGCTGTTCCGCCGGGGCTCCCGGCTCGCAGGCGCCGCCGCGCAGCACCGCCCAGACCCAGGCGCACGGGCTGGCAGCTCCGCGGGCCGAGCGCTCGGGCCCCGCCGTGCCTCCGCGCGCTTCGAAATGAGGGTCCTGGGAGGGCGCTGCGGGGCGCTGCTGGCGTGCCTCCTCCTGGCGCTTCCCGGCTGCGAGGCAAACTGTGAGTAATCAGTCGATAACGTCTCTCTGCCCCCCAGCCTCGTCCGAACGGCGTGCCCTGGTTAGCAGGGTTTTCTGCCTTAGAGCCGCAGCCTCCCAGAAAGTTTCCAGTAAGTCCCGACGGACACCCAGCGCAGGGAAGCAGCCGCGGATCGATGCGGCAGAGTCATGGTGGGGCAGGGTCCGTGTGCACGGTCGCCGGCGTGCGCTGCCTGCGGGACAGATGCCAGACCCGGGGCGACGCCGAGTATCAATGAGCGGATGACACCACCTGCGCGTTCCCGGTCAGAGAACCGGGAGGAGCAGATTCCAGGGTACGAGCAGGGAGGAAAAGGGGGCGCACGGTGTCTTCCCTTTGTCCCGGCGCCTGCCCCCGACCTGCGCCAGGCTGCTGAAACCTACCTCCCTTTTGCAATTTCTGGACTTTGAGCTTGATTTGCTTGTCTCACATTGACGACCTGTTTTAAAATGACCGAGGGTTCGGATAGCAGTAGAAATATGTCACTTTCCAACCCTGAAATCAAAAGGACTGTTAAAGACCGTCTATTCTATTTCTCAGATCGCTGTGTACTGAGGATTTTTTTTTTTAACATTGTGTGTCAGTGATCTGAGGTGGTGGCATGAATTCTTTATCTTTGTATTTCAGGTTCTTTATGTCCTTATGCCCGGATTCAAGACAGGATATTGAGCTTTCTCTGAAAAATATATAAGGAATAACAAGGCATTTAGTACGTTTTAGTGGTCAGTTAATTTGTTTTCTGAAGTCGTAAGTGTGTTTATTGACTAAAAATGCCCCCCCTCACCCCCCCCTTTTTTTTTTGAGACGGAGTTTCGCTCTGCTGCCCAGGCTGGAGTGCAGTGACGCCATCTCCACCAACTGCACCCTCCCCTTCCTAGGTTCAAGTGATTATGCCTCAGCCTCCCGAGTAGCTGGGATTGCAGGTGCCCCCACGACACCGGCTAATTGGGGTTTCACCATGTTGGCCATGCTGGTCTCGAACTCCATACCTCAGGTGATCCATCCGCCTCAGCCTCCCAGTGTTGGGATTATAGGCGAGAGCCACGGTGCCTGACCAAAAATGTCTTCTTGTGCTATGTTTTATTTGTAGGGGTTGGAAAGGAAGACAGCACTCTGAATTACAAATAACTTTTAGGAGCCTAGAGCTCCTAAGTAAACTTTTCAAAGATGGAAATTTCAGGAGAATTATGTATCAATTTACTAACATTCCACTCGTTTCTATTAGTCATCAAGATGAATGTGGTACTTTAAAAATCTAACTTGGGACTGAAACATTAGTTTCTGATCCTGCATTAAAGAGCTACCTACAATTGCAGAACTTCCCCTTTCAAACCGATATCATTAAGCCGATTTGTAACTACATGGGCTTATTACCTATATAGTTCATTAGGACAGTTAAATATTTGCTTCATAGCTAGAATTTTGGAGAGGGGAAAGGCAAATTAGCTTACCACGCTTAACTCCTTGTCATTGTAGAAATTTGCTAGGCCTTTTCTTTTTGAAGAGATTGTTACATTTTGACTGAATCTAGGCAGAGGTAAAAATTATATGGGTTTGTGTAGGTTTGTTATATATAAACATATAGAGAATTACACTTGTTATATATAAATGCTGATAGAACAGATAAATTAATTCTTCCAGTATATCACATAAGGAATAGTTGGCTCCATAATGCCTTGGCTTAAAAGTTTTTGATTGATTGCTTAATTGGATTAAAAGTCATCTGTGGTTTACTGATGAGGAAATTTAGATACAGATGTGATGCTTTTAACTCATATGGTTTTATTTTATCTATTTATATTTTTTGAGACAGGTTCTGGCTCAAAAATCAGGCACAATCACAGCTAACAGCACCTCCCCCTCCCTGGCTCATGGGAGCCTCCCTGCTCCACCTCCTGAGTAGCTGGGGCAACAGGCGTCCACCACCATGCCAGGCTAATGTGTGTGTGTGTGTGTGTGTGTGTGTGTGTGTGTGTGTGTGTTGTGTGTGTGTGTATGTGTTTGGTAGAGCTGGTGTTTTGCCATATTGCCTAGGCCTGTCTTGAACTCCTGTGTTCAAGTGGCCTGCCTACTTTGGCTGCTCAAATTGCTGGGATTACAAATATGAGCCACAGTGCCCAGACTCCATATGATTTTATATTTGAGATCTAATTAAAGTTGTAAATACTTTATTTATAATTCATTGTGTAGTCCTATATTTTTCTTTGTTTCTTTCTGTCTCTCTCTCTCTTTCTTGTTTATTTTCTCTTCTATTTTCTTTTCTTTTCTTTGTTTCTTTCTTTCATTTTGAGATGGAGTCTCACTCTGTTGCCCAGGCTGTAGTGCAGGAGTGCAATGGCATGATCCGAGCTCACTGTAGCCTCTGCCTCATGACTTCAAGTGACCTTCCCACCTCAGCCTCCCAAGCAGCTGGTATTACAGGCACGCTCCACCATGCCTGGCTAATTTTTGTATTTTTAGTAGAGACAGGACTTCACCGTGTCGGCCAGACTCATCTTGAACTCCTGACCTCCAGTGATCTGCCCGCCTTGGCCTCCCAAAGTGCAGGGATTACAGGTGTGAGCCCTCACATCCAGCCAATAATTCATTTTTAGTCCATAGAAAGCTATGCAAGATTAAAATGTATATATACTTTTTTTTTGAGGTGGAGTCTTACTCCGTTGCCAGGCTGGAGTACAGTGGTGCGATGTTGGCTCAATGCAACCTCCGCCTCCCGGGTTCAGGTAATTCTCCTTCCTCAGCCTCTCAAGTAGCTGAGACTACAGGCATGAACCACCACGCCCAGCTAATTTTTGTATTTTTAGTAGAGACAGGGTTTCATCATGGTGGCCAGGATGGTCTCGATCTCGTGACCTCATGATCTGCCCACCTCGGCATCCCAAAACACTGGAATTACAGGCGTGAGCCACCGCACCCAGCCAAAAAAATATTTTTGTGATTAAAAAAACATAAATTTACAGACAGTGTCTTGGTATCTTGCCCAGACTGAAGTGCAGTGGCTATTCACAGGCACTATTATAGTGTGCTACACCTGTGAACTCCTGGCCTCAAGCAACCCTCTCATCTCAGCCTCCTGAGTGTCTGGGACTATGGGCATGCCCTATTATGGCTGGTTTATAGTTGTTATTTAAAGAAAAACATTTAAAAATCATAGTCTGATTTTAGGAAGAATAATTAGAAAAAATGCAGTACTACTTGTTTTAAAAATTAAAAAAAAGAAATTGTCCAGAGATTAAGTTTCCAGAATGCATACTATATACATAAGAGAGAGAGAGATGTGAATCTCTATATTTAGCATATATACTGTCACCTGGGCATGGCGGCTTACACCTGTAGCCCCGGCACTTTGGGAGGCTGAAGAAGGAGGATTACGTGAAGCCAGGAGTTCAAGACCAGTCTGGGCAACATAGTGAGACCCTGTCTCTAAAAAAGAATTTAAAAAAAATTAGCCCAATGTGCTGCTACACACTTGTAGGCCCAGCTACTCAGGAGTCTAAGGTGGGAGGATCACGTGAGCCCAGGAGGTTGAGGCTTCAGTGAACATGATTATACCACTACACTCCAGCCTGGGTGACAGAGTGAGATCCTGTCTCCAAAAATAATAAAAATAAAAGAGATACTGTCTACATATTTTAATCATTTCCCACTTAAGGCATGTGGTGAGGGGAAACAGGAAAAAGAGGCTGTCCTTTGGGCTGTGCTAATTTGGCCTTATCTAGACTGGCACCCCGGGTGGGTGCAGGCTACTGTAGTCACTAGTGACTCATATTTTCCTTTTCTTTCGTATCCTCTTCTTTCCTTCTCTAACTATTCCTTTTCTTATTTGTGAGTCCTTGTCTTTTCTTAAATTATCTTTCTTTTTTTTTTTTTTTTTTTTTTTTTTGAGACGGAGTTTCGCTCTCGTTACCCAGGCTGGAGTGCAATGGCGCGATCTCGGCTCACCGCAACCTCAGCCTCCTGGGTTCAGGCAATTCTGCCTCAGCCTCCTGAGTAGCTGGGATTACAGGCACGTGCCACCATGCCCAGCTAATTTTTTGTATTTTTAGTAGAGACGGGGTTTCACCATGTTGACCAGGATGGTCTCGATCTCTTGACCTCGTGATCCACCCGCCTCGGCCTCCCAAAGTGCTGGGATTACAGGCTTGAGCCATCGCGCCCAGCTGGAGCAATACATCTTATATGCCCCCCCCCCCCAAAAAAAAAAGAAAAAAAGAAAAGAAAAGGAAAAACAATCACAAAAGCAAGGGAATACAGGTGATGGTTTAGGGCTTGTCTGTCTCTCCCTTGGTTACAAGAATGAGCTGGTATTTAGGACTCTTTCCCTACCCCTTTCAGAGCTCTCTTGCCCTCAGGATACAAGTGCCTCATGTTTGTGTTTGCTCAGTGAGATGGACCATAGTAATCAGGAAGAATCCGAGCCCTTATGGTCTCCACCTGTGGACAGTGGTCATCCTGGAGGGGCTTCACGCCTAACCCTGATTAGTATGTGGCAACACTATTTTGCCTGGATTACGGTCTTCCTTCTAACATACTCCTCTTATTATTATTAATTTTTGTTCCCCCCTAGCAGGTAAAGAGCTTCAAATGGCAACACGCTAATCTCAGCTTGCAATTCAGTGGAAAATATATTAGGTCCCCTAGCGGATGCAGTCCTTGGAAACCCTTCTTGGTTTCCCAGTTTCTAGGTGAGCAGAATGCAGTTGGGAGGATAGAATGCAAGAAACAATTGAGAGTAAGTAACTGTATTCGTGCTCTAGGACTGCCATGATAAAGTACCACGAAGTAGGTGATTTAAATAACAGAAAGTTACGGTCTCAGAAAATCCAAAATCAAGATATCAGCAAGGTTGGTTTCTTTTGAGGTCTGTGAGGGGAGAAGGTGTTTCCTGCCTCTCTCCTAGCTCCTGGTAACCTCCGATGTTCCTTGGCTTGGGGACGGCATTCTTCCTGTGTCTTTGCATTGTTTTTCCTCTGTACGTGTCT